CGTCATAGGCCCTGGGGAATGAGAGTTTTCTTTTAGCTCCACTGTAGTATTATCCCCACACACAAGATAAATCCCCTCCCTCTTTTATTTGGCAGGCTTTTGAGCTGGCAACTGGAGACTATCTCTTTGAGCCTCACTCTGGAGAAGATTATACAAGGGATGAAGGTAGAGAACACTGGCTGGTTGAACAAAGGAGGGTGATAGGCGTGGGGTAGTTTTTTTTTTAATCTTGCAACTTTTAAGACCTTAATGCTGGCTGGGGAATTCTGAGAGTTGAAATTCACACATCTTAAAATGGCAAAAGTTGAGAAACACCAGTGTGGGGTGATGCTACAGATTTTCATGAAGCAGGCTGGAACACTGGAGGGTTATGCCGAGAAAGCGACCAGACTGACTTTTTTTTTTTTTTTTTTGAAAACATGGTCATGAAAGGGAATGCCAAGGACCCAGTTATATGCCTGGGTCAGGAGCCACAAATGTGCAAAGGGATATGTTGACACTGATGCATTATAACAGTGGTGGCGAACCTATAGCACGCGTGCCATAGGCGGCACTCAGAGCCCTCTCTGTGGGGACACGTGCTGTTGCCCCAGCCCCGCCTCCCCCCGTGGCCCCCTCACCAGCAGACCCCCCTGGAGGAGAGTCACCCCCGGGTGCAGCCTCTGCAGAGCAGCGCAGCCTAGGACATGGCAGCTGGACAGCGGGAACAAGACTCCGCCCTTGCGCCTCGTTGTGCACAGATGATGCTGCAGGGTGCGTGCAGAGGGCATGGCTGCCATGGTGCTGCTGGGCTGCCTGGGCAATCTACGGCGGGCCATGGAGGTGGTGGGTGGCCAGGTGGGTGGAGCGGGTGGGTGGGGGGCGGGGCAGGAGCGGGGCAGAGGCGGGGCAGAGTGGTGGCAGGGCGGTTTTGGGGCACTCAGTCTCTAAAAGGTTCGCCATCACTGGATTATACTATCTCTTGGCTGCTATTTGTATTTATTTTTTTTCTATTATGTTTTAACTCTTCCAAATTTTTTATGATTGTTCACTTCCCAGAGTCACTGGTTCAAGATCAGAGGCTAGACAAATTGACTGAATAAATATGTTCTATTGCTGCCAAAGAGGAAGTTCTTTGCCTGACATTAATTCTATTTTTCCCAATTTGCATCCCCAGCCAGTTATTCAAAATTGCAGAAATAGAAGGCCCTCTCAGGCTTATAAATCCAGAATCCCCTGTATTCGTAGTTTGTGGCATAGTTGAGGGGCCCCTCCAAATGGGGCCTCCTGGCACTAACACTTTCCTTCTTTCAGATCATATTGCCCACATTGTTGAGTTACTTGGCGATATTCCCCCCCACTTTGCTCTTTCGGGGCGGTACTCGCGTGAGTACTTCAACCGGCGAGGTAAGTTGGAAAAACCTAACATTTGGAGGGTGATCTTTTAGAGCAGGGGTATCAAACTCGCAACATCACGTGACGTGTCACGACATATCGTGACTTTTTCGCCATTGCCGGCAATGGGATGAGCGCGGTTTTGCTATGATGCATCAAGCCGGTGGACTGGCAGTTTGACACCCGTTTTAGAGGAAGCTTTGCTCCAGGACATGTGGATTCAGAGTTTGTTTATAGGAAGAGAGTTGAGAAAGGTAAAAGTTCTCCTGAACAATACCAGGCATAGGGTGAAGGTTGGAAAGACAGGCTTTCTGGTGAACCAGTACAAATAGTGGTACAGTTGCAGTAAATTGCATGAAGGTTGCAATGTTTATTGTGATGAGGTCCTGAATGAAGTCGCTTTCATCAGAAGCAGCTTGTAACCCTTTATGTCATGGCTGTATGTCAGTGCCTCTAAGATACAGCCTGCTGACCACATTCTCTACCGGTGTTCTCTTCTATCTACCTTGTACATATATGTCCTTGTACAAATGGTGAACTTAAAGCATGTTAGGTTTGCTGCTGATCACAGTGTCACAATATCAGCCGAGACCTTTCCAACTTTCCCAATTGTTTGCCTGTCTTGCCAGGGGAACTACGTCACATAAAGAACCTGAAGCACTGGGGACTATATGAGGTCTTGGTGGAGAAATATGAGTGGCCTCTCGAACAAGCAGCCCAGTTCACGGACTTCCTATTGCCCATGATGGAGTACATCCCTGAAGACCGTGCTACAGCTGCCCAGTGTCTCGAGCACCCATGGCTAAACTCTTAGGGACAAACCTTGCTCAAACAAACTGATGAATGAAATAAGGGAGTTCTGGTCCCAGATGGAGTTTCCTGGCTCGTGGTGTAGCCCGCTTTGCTGGAGTGATGATGTGGGGAAGATTAGTTCCAAGATTGGAGACTCTGGCTGATTAAGCTAGAGTTTGTATGGCTGGACTGGAATCCCACATGTCAATTTATGGCTACGTCTGAAGCACAAATGGAAGATGACCAGGATTTCTTGCCCCTTTTTTTTTTTGTGATTAGCATATGCCTTCTTGGTTGACAGTGGCCATCTTCTCTAGGTGCCATTGGGATAATGCTGTTTGACTGTTTTTAACCAGTTCTGAGATTTCTTGCAGGGTTTTTTTTCCCTCCCTTTTAAGGTATATGTTTAAAGGTTCCCACCCTTAAAAATCAAATGAATGTGACCGAAAAGTAGTTTGAGAGGAATGGGTACGTGCAAGGTGGATGGTGAGTTGGATGGACCTGAGAGTTGAGAGCAAGAAGCTGGAAAGAGTTGCCAACTTCTTAAAACGAAAACTTTTTATTGTCGGAAGAAAATATATCCCTTCCCCTGCCTAAACTTCTATTTTTAACTCTAGGAAAATGTGGCCTTTTTTCTTTTTTTTTCTTTTTTTTTTTTTTGAGCAAAAGCTTAACACAGGTGAATGAAATTTTGTAGAGTTACGTAATATTGATGTTGAAATTTAACAGTGGAAGCATTTAGAGGTATGAGAAAACTCATGGGAGAAGAAATAGAAATACATCAATAGCAAAATGGGAGAGGAAAGATTCTTATTCCAGTGACTTTCTGAATACCTAGATAAGTTTTCTGCTAAGATTCTAAAGTTGTGATCAGCAGCTGAATAAACAGAAGGATGCAATAGTATCCCTCCTCCTTCCATGAGCATTTATGACCCCTTTCCTCATTATTAGACTATAGCCCCTAAGATGCATGCTTTTCACTAATCAGGGGTTGTGTATCTGCTCATCATTTGATACTTTGAGAATCTCAATTCAAAAAATAGTTGTGGTTGGGGGAAAAAATTGAAAGGTATGTAGTTATGAATTTTTTTAGCAGCCTGATTTTTTCCTAATATGCCTTGTGATGTCCAATGTTGTTTTTACTTCTATACCGTTTCACTTCCTTTAGCCCAACTTTTTTTTAATCCAACTTTTGAGATGGTGAGGGATAGAGAATAATCCCCGTATCATTTGCAGAATTGGGGGGGTGGGTGGAAGGGAAATCAAGCTAAATGTATGTGTGCGGTTAGTGTGTTTTCTTGGCAGAAGTTTGGGGTTGTTCACACTGTTGCCATCTTGGGCTGCTGTTGCAACTCCTGTTCTGATTTTCCACACATGCCACTTGTGATTAGCATTTTTTTTTTCAAAGAAAGAATGGCTGCTCATAAAAGCTTGACCCGGATGAGCAAAATTATTCAAGCTACTTTGTGCCTTTATAATGGAGCCTACCTATTGTTTGCTGGATACACTGAATAGGGAAGAAAAGTGAGAGCTGTTACATATAAGCCTTTTTTTTTTTTTTCCCTTCCATTCCCAAATGTCCTAGGAAAGGAATGCAGAAGAAATAAAGACCCTAGAGGCAGGCGTAAAGCCAATGTCCCTTCCTTTTCCTAGAGATACCCTGTTAGAGTTCCTGTTTCTGTGAAAACTAGATTCAGCTGTCTGAACCTGGAGTCTGTGGTTTGGAACTGGAACTGGAACTAGAATACGCGGTTCTGATTCTCCTGAACACTCCAGTCTCAACCTGGGGCATTGAGTGGGGAACGTCTGGGTGAAAATACTGTTCATACCAAAGTTGTGTTGCCCCAGAATCAAGCCCAACGAGAGCGAGACAAGTCTGTTTTCTTGCACTGTTATCTCCCCAATGAGAAGCCATGGCCTTCCTTTAGAGCAATGTTTCCCAAACTTGACAATTTTAAGGCATGAGGACTTCAACTCCCAGAATTCCACAGCCAGCAACGCTGGCTGTGGAATTCTGGGAGTTGAAATCCACATGCCTTAAAATTGTCAAGTTTGGGAAACACTGCTTTAGAGGAGGCCCATGTGTGCCAGTGTTGGGGGGGGGGAGTATGTGTGGAAGTGTTTTGAATGCTGTGCTGTTACAGGAATTGAATTCAAAAAAATAATTTTCATTAAAATATTTGCAATAACTTTTGATTCTTCCTTTCTGTGGACAAACCATTACAGGGACGGGAGCAGAAACAGGCCATTTTGCACAGAAGTTGCTGCCACTTTCAAACTGGTCCTGCTCAACTGCCCAGATCTGTTTTAAAATCCATGCTTTCTGCAGCAGGAATATTACTTTTCGTTTAAAGGAGAACAGCTCATTGCATCAAAATTGAGACAGCATAAGACTTAAAGAGTACTACTGCTCCTTTGAATCTCCATTCTGCCAATAGCACAAGAGTAAGGCATATTAATTAGAAAGTGTATATTATTCATACACTGGGGGGGAAATGCATTGTAGTAGGCGTGAGCTTTTATTTTCTAAATCAAAATAACTATACTTCTCAATGTAGATGATTGTATAAAAATAATGAAGGGTACTTGGCCAACATTCATAGATTCAAGGATAAGAGCAGCAATGCCATTTTGCAATGTTGCTCACAACATTCCCAATTCTCAACTGAGTAGCCAGTTCTGGTTCAAAGTAGGTAACCCGGCTACTCTTCTCCAGACCGTGATTTGTCTCCATCTTCGGGATACTGCAGCATTCATTTTTATTCCAAGTCACTCCATTTCACTTTTATTGTTGCGATTTTCTATCAACCAGACTAAAAACAACAGCCCAGAAAACCTCTCTAAACTGTTTATATTTATTATCCCTAGTTCATAGAGCTGGGTGAGAAACATTAACTTACACACTATATACAGAAAAAGGATACTTGAATAGTTTGAAATGAAAAGGTCTGCACCATTCATAAAGAGTTGCTCCGTTGCTTTTACTGAAGAAAAAGAATGGGTATCTGCTGTAGCTGGGACAGCTTTGAACTTCAGCTTCATTTACTATTAAACAAAAAGCAAATGTATTAATGTTATTAGAGAGAGAGAGATACCATCAGACCAGTCTTTCAGGACAGAATCAGGCTATGTTGCTAAATTGCTACACTGCAAAAGACAGACATCTAGGGCAAGGCAAGTGACATTTCAACCTGGTCTTACCTACAGTGACCTCTTCTAAATATCTTCCGGGGTTTTCTTTTGGGTAAAACAATTTAAAAAGAAAACCTAGAACAAACATTTTTTTCCATCCGGCATCGTCCCATTGACTTGGGTCAGTCCCCAAACCTTCCCCCACAGAAAATTGATGGGTATAAAACTTAAGTGACCAGTGCCATGTTGGAGAAGGCTACAATTCCTGTTGCCCATTATTCCTTCCCCCCTTTGCTTTACAGATAATCCTTGACTTACAACCACAATTGGGATCAGAACTTGCACCACTAAACAGTGGGGTCACTGAATGAGTCATGCCTGGTTTTATCCTCTTTTCTGCTGTGGTCATTAAGCAAATTGTTGAGCAAATCTGGCTTCCCCCACTGATTTTGCTTGTTGGAAGCCCCCTGGGAAGGTCAGAGTGATCATGTGACTATGATCATATAGCATCATGGAATGCTGCAACCATCGTAAATACATGACAGTTCTCAAGTGCCCAAATTTTGATCATGATGATGGGAGGGACACTGCAATGGTCATGAGGACCAGTCAGAAGCACCTTTTGGGGGCATCCTCATAACTTGGGTTGTTCAACAAATAGTCATAAGCCAAGGACTACCTGTGCATCTATTTCCTGCTAAAAATAAATGCAGCTAGATCCGTGTCTGGCCGGCCCTGAAGCCCAAGTATGCAATTCATTCACCACCATTGAAGCCAGTCCCATCCCCCAATCTAGGAACTTCTTCCTTCTATTCTCTTACCTGTGCTAGGTGAGACCTAGGCTGGGTGATCTGCTTCATAATTGACTGAACAGCGGCTGAGGTGGTACCCTGGCCCCCAATATCTGGCGTGTGGGTCTAAAGAGAAGAAAAAAACAGAACTGCACCAAGCCAGCCCCACTCTCAACTGCACTGCAGCAACAGAAGTCTCACAAGTAGTTGGAAGACCAGTGCTGAACTTTTTGCAGCTACAATTCCTAAGCAGGGGCGGGATAAGTGAGGATCTTATCAAGTGACATAAAATTAAACTTTTTACAGAAAATGAAATGTTACAGTATGGATAGATTGCGAACTCCTAGGGTAAACACAGATGCATAAAGAACGAGTTTAGCTTTATCTGACATGCACTCATCATTAAACTTAAGCACAATAAACCCAAGACAGGAAGAGGAACCCTTCCGTAGGTTTTGGGGGTGCTCACTCTCCAGCCTGGTGAATTGGGCAGGGCAAACTTCTTAACTGGAATTTACATTCTTGTTTTAACTGACTTTTTTGCTGTACCCAATGGGATCAGTATAAATTACATCTTTGGCAGATGGGATGTTTGATGTACTGCCCCACAACTCTGCAGAGGAAGTCAAGAGACTGACATCCTGTGTATCCCATGGCTTTTTCTGGTATGTTTTTTATCCTCTCCAATGCCAAAATTCCATTATTAGAGAAGGACCAGTTGCAGTTATTTCCACTATTGCAGATCAAAGGCTTTTGAGGATAGTTTTTAACTCTCTATTCTTGGAGATCACAAAAAAATATGGCTCTATAATATTATGTAAATTTTCTATCCATCCACTTTCTCTTCAGAAAAATGGTTCATCTTTGTGTATGTACGTGTGTGCACACCTCCAAGTAAGTGTTAACCTCTGGCAACTGTCTGAACAAGTCCCTGCAGTTTTCCTGGCAAGATTTCAGAAGTGAGTTGCCATTGCCTGCTTCTTAGGGCTGGAAGAGAGTGATTGGCCCAAGGTCACCCACTACTTCAAGCTGTCTTTCATCTACGTCACATCTATTTTAGTAGAACTTAGGTTCTTCTGTGAATTTCTCCCTAGGGAAATATTAAGAGCACTTTACTCCATCCTGGAATAGGAAAACATCTTGCTTCTACTTCCTTCAGTATGTTGTGTAATATAATGCTTACTGTGGCAATACACCCAAATAGATTCTATCCAGTATCAAGAAAGTCATTCCCACTTTTCCAAGAGAATCTAAGAATACTACTGGTTCCTAAAGTCCAAGTGACTAGAGTTTTTTAAAAAAAACAACTTTATTATTTCCCAGTATCTTGATCAAGGTCTGTCCAGATCAGAATAAGAGCAACTCACTTCCACATCATCCATGGAGGTTAGGACTGCCTTGCGGATCACAGATGCGTAGCTGTGCAATCTGCAATGAATGACAGATCTTTCTTAGGAACAGCAACCCAAATCAACCCCTCTCTTGTCTCTCATCCCCAGTATAATGGCAGCTCCTCCTAGGGATTATTTATTCATTGTGATCCCATCTTTCTCCTTAAGAACCCCTCAGCATATTCTGATCCTTCATTTTACCCTCGGACCACCTACCTAAGGTGATCCAGCATCATACAGCTGGCGAGGAGCATTGCTGTGGGGTTTGCAATGTTCTTGCCTGCAATACTTTTGCCAGTATTGCGTGTGGCCTGTGGAGAAATAGGGAGAGAAAGGAAAAAACAAGGGATGATTTCAGTAATCGCAAGCAATCCTCAACCTGTTGCGTGCTACTTCCTACAATAATTGTACAGGTAGTTCTTGACTTATCACAATAATTGGGACAAGAATTTCCGTTGCTAATCAAGGTGGTTAAGGAAATTGTGCCCAATTTTACAAACTTTTTTTTGCTGCAGCTAAGTGAATCGTCGTTAAGTAAATCCACCTTCCACAATTGACTTTGCTTGTCAGAAGCTGGCTGGCTGCCAATTACATGGCCTCAGAATGCCGCAACATTGTAAATGCACACCAGCTGTCAAGCACCCAAAAATGATCCTATGACTTGTGATGCTGCAACAATCAATGTAAGTCATTTTTTTTCCCCCAGCGCCGTTGTAACTCTGAAGGGCTGCTAAACAATTGGCTGTAAGTCGAGAACTATATTAAAGAACTGGATCCTGCCATGATAGAAATAAAACAGACCACTTTTTTTTTTCAAGGAAGACATATATTCAGACATTCTGTCATGGTAACTTGGGTTCTGAACAGAGAAAGAGATGGAACTCGAAATGGTTTAACTAGTCTTCACCAATTCCGTCATGTACTACTAATTTTCAGAATACAAAAATACTGCGGCATTAGCATTTGAAATAAGTTCTGCTGCTAGGGTTTCAAAACACAAACTGGTCATGACGTTAACTGAAAGGCAAGGCAAAAAGCTGAGGTGAAAGGCAGTCAACAGAGCACAGCTGTGCTCTGTGAGACATTTACTGCTTTATAAGCCGCAGCGAGAAACACAGAGAAATGGGAAGAGTGCTTGCTTGTGCTTCTGGCAGCAGCTTACAAAGTAGCATACGAGTGAAACATAGTGGGAGCTTCTTGGTAAGAAAGAAAAGGATTGAGGACCGTGATAGTTCACTTAGCAGCATCAGTAGGAAGAAAACTATTCTATTGTTCTTTCCCTCCTTACAGCATCAAGAAGCAAAGAACCAAACTATTGACAGAAAGGAGCACTTTGCTGCTTTCAGATGCTTGCAAAGCTCCGTCACCTCCAGACGGAATTGCTGAAAGTTCATCACGCCTGATCAACCAGGAGGTGCCTGAACCATGTTGATGAGCCTGTATCCCACTTAGATTCCTCCTGCATTTCACCAACGTTATGCATCCAACTAGTTGGAAAATATTGCAATAGTTGTTGGAAAAATATCTGCCCATGTTTCCTTATGGTTTATCATGACTGGGTTGTGATTTTGAGAGCCATCCCTCTCAAAAACAAAGCCATCTCAAGACACCTTACCGTTTCAAAAACCGCATAGGCATGGCCATAATTGGCTCCTGGGACCAGGCCTGGACCGCCAACCAATCCGGCGCAGACATTGTTGACAATATTGCCGTAGAGGTTAGGCATAACCATGACGTCAAATTGCTGAGGACGGGAAACCAGCTGGAGATTCAAAAAAAAAAAGCAGTGTTATCCCAATATTCATAACATGCTTTTCTCCGTTATCCACCCTAAGGAGACACAGGGTGATACCTTGCATCTAAAAGTATGAAAGTATGCATAAAGACCTCCCAGTAAAATAATTTCTGTCCACAATATTAAAAAAACACAAATCCTAATGAGGAAGTTACATTACAGACTGCCAAGTTCAGTCCCATGAACTTCGAAGCAGACTCAATGAGTCTGCGTGGAAACCTGGAAAGCTCCTGTTGCTTATATTAACCTGGTGGACAAGGTGGCCCACGGGCCTTTTCAGTGTAAAGCACCTTCCTACAGCTACAGCTGGAGTTGAAACTAAACCAACATCACAGTACCTGCATGGTGGTGTTGTCAACAATCATGCTCTCAAAGGTGATGTTTGGGTAGCCAGCTGCCACCTCTTTGCAACACTGCAGGAACAGACCGTCACCCAGTTTCCTTTAGGGGAGGGAAAGAGGAACAAATGAGCCACAGCAAACGGTCGGTCTCCAGCAAAAATAACAGAGGCAGTGAGAGCTTCAAAAGAAGAGTAAGAATGTTTGTGGAGCAGGAGAAAACACAGAGAAAAGGCCATATGGAAGCCTGTCTCCACTTCACAGCACAGAAAAATAACTATCCTAAACCTGAAGGGTCTCTATGGGAAAAGTACAGGCACCCTATCTGACAGTACTTGCCCCAGAGCTTGGTTACTGTTAGGCTATAGAGCAGTGATGGCGAACCTTTTAAAGACCGAGTGCCCAAACTGCAACCCAAAACCCACTTATCGCCGGGTGCCAGATGGGCGTGGCCCACTGGATGGGCGCAGCTGTGGTGGTCATGGCAGATTGGGTGGGTGTGGCCAAGGTGGGTGTGATCACCTCAATGTTGCTCGTGGGGAGGGACGCCTGTGGGGGCCGGGCGGGGGAGATCCAGGGGTTCTCTGGCAGGTGGGGCAGTGGGCAGGAGGCTCATCCTGCGGGGTGAGGCGAGGCAAGGCAAGGCGGGGGTGCCATTATCACAGGGCAAGATGAGGCAGGGGCCGGGGCGGCTGCTGCCTGACACCATCGGCCCTTGCACACAGAGGCCAGCGAGTGCATGGGTGCTGGGATACATCCAGCCATGTGGGACCTCGGCGAGTCAGTGGGCGGCTGGTTGAAAAGGGACGGTTGCCATCTCCGGGGCCTGGCGAGCATGTCCACAGAGAGGGCTCTGAGTGCCGCCTCTGGCACGCGTGCCATAGGTTCGCCACCACTGCTATAGAATATTCTTTATATAATACCTCACTCTTAAGCCAAAACTTTTGTGGTGGGTTAAAGTCAGCCCACTATGGTTTATTCAACAAATCACAGTTGACCCAATTAAGGACTGTTGTGCTACATGAACTTAGCCTTTATTTTCCAACTTACATAATATTGGCCTTGTGGACAGCTGTCACTTTCTTGCGACCAGCTTCATGTGCCAACCTGAAAGCATATTCAGCAATACGCAGCGACTTTGTCTTTGTGATGATCTTGAGGCTCTCCACCACGCCAGAGACACTCTGTGGAAAGGGCATGGTCAGTGCTCCTGAGTTCCACCCCTAGCCATGCACAAGCAGGGCTTGCTGTCTACAGGGCAAAACGACTGAAATCCTGACCCAGAGAACCGCTTCATACAGGAAGTCAGTTCTTGCCTTGTGATTTCCCTCGTGCCTGTACAAACTTTGCAAGTCTCTTGGCTTGCCTTGAAGTCAGAAAAAGATACATAATAGGATAGTCTCTGGACTGCCAACGGACAGCTCCTGATAAAGGGGACTCTCAGTCCAAAAGTTTCAGACTTGGCAGGCAATGACCTCTGATACTCCAAGATTGTAAGGACACTTAGTTCTATGGTCTTCCATACAGCACTATCACCATTCCCTTACTTTCCTCAATGCAGCAAACCAAACAAATGTACACCTGTAGGACAGAGATTTAACACATACACATACACCATGTAAATGGGGTTGAGGCTAGCAGCAGATGTGGAAAGAGAAAAGAACACCATAAGTTTCCTGTATAAATGAGCACCTCATGTTCCAGGCTGCTGTATTCCCCCTCTGTGTTCTCCCGGACAATGAGGATGTCGATGTCATGGTGCCTGGTTGCCACACCTGGAAGGCTCTTGCAATGAATCACATTGGCAAAGAGATCCAAATTAGTACTGTGGAGACAGAGAAGGAAAAGGGAAGCTCACACAGTGGAGAGTCACTGCTTCTCAGCTGTTTAAGAAAGCACCAGGAAAAATGCAGCCTGCCAAGAAACAGGCAATAGCCATCTTCAATCTAGCTGATCACCACAGGCTAAATATCCCATGAGCAAAAGATAGTCTCTCAAATGTGGACCACTATCCCTGCCTGTCTAATGCTAGATCCCAGTCAAATAAGTGTGTTTGTTGTGTTGCTGCTGGAGCAACAGATGTGGCTGTCTGTCTGAAAAGCGATGTTGTGCAGGTCTCATTTAACTAGTTCCAAAATTCTGCCTACCACTTTAAGTTGAGCCTTTATCTCACCGCAATATGTTGTTCCGGGACTTGTGGGAAGGTGGCAGGTTATGGTTTGTCTCGATGTTTCCTATGAAGGTCAGGAAAAGAACGTGAATAAAGACACTGGATTTCTGACCAGCAAACTTAAGCTACTGAGAAAAGCACTTTAAGAAATGTATCTATAGAATCACTTTTTGGTGTTTATATCTTTTAAATGTTTTAACAACTCTTCCAATTAGCTTTGAAGACCACACTGATTCTTTATCTCACTGTAAGGATTCAGGGCATGAGAAGAGACGCTGTTTCCACCTCCATTCTAAACTCCATTAACTTCTCATATCTCAAGCAATACGATTCTATCCCTGTGCTCCATATGAACAATAGCCCTTTCCAGCCTTTCCATTAGCACAGATAATGTCAAATCTCCATTTTGTGTTTTAGCCCCTCCAATTTTGATGATTATGTGGGGAAAAGGACCACTATTACCTTTGAGGGCCACACGGTTACGGCGGATAGCCATGAGAGCATTTTGTATGTCACTTTCAGAAGCCTCTGAGCTCACTAGAACTTCCTCAAAGTCCACGGGTACACAGGCATGCCTGGGGCAGAGAAAAAGAGAGATCTAGGCCAAACATACCAAAGAGAATGGAAACCCCCAGCATTAGCAGGGTGAGTCTTCAAAGTTAGGCTGCCTTTGTTTTAGGCACAGCTCTAAAAAGGTGGAAAAGAAAGAAACCATACCGGAACAATTCTTTGACGTGAAGCATGAGCTCTGGCCCAATCCCATCTCCTGGGATCATGGTCACTGTATGGCGACCGCCATACTTGGCTGGGGGAGGCTACAAAAAAAAAAAAAAAGAGAGAGAGAGAGAAGGGATGATTTCAAACAATCCAATCCAATCCATAAGTCTTCTCAAAGAGTCTGCATTATTGAGCATCATCATCAATCCATTTTAAAAAAGGAAATCATCAAAACATTTCCTGTGGCTGTCCGTTGCAAGGGGGGGGGGAAACAATTCAATGGGACGAAGAAGCTTGTGCAGTATCTGGTAATCTGGACAGAGACAAAGTCTGAGACAGGTAGGATTGGGCTTTGAAAAGGAATCGGACCCAATCTCTGTGTTATATTTGGATTCCTGGGACTGATAGCATAGTAAAGCTCTTTCAGATTCTAGGGATTATCTGAAATTGCTGAAAAGATTTTGACAATGGACCTCTGTCATCTGTTCCAAACCTGCAACAACATTTTTAATAAAAATATAAAAATTAACCATATCCTTTGCCCAGGATTTTCCAGGATAGGGATTTATAATTCCTTTTAGGACCCCCTTGTCCTTTTACTTTAATGAAGAGAAGGACGAGGGGGGACATGATAGCAGTGTTCCAATATCTCAGGGGCTGCCAGAAAGAAGAGCGAGTCAAGCTATTTTCCAAGGCGCCTGAAGGCAGGACAAGAAGCAATGGATGGAAACTAATCAAGGAGAGAAGCAATCTAGAACTAAGGAGAAATTTCCTGACAGTTAGAACAATTAACCAGTGGAACAACCTGCCTCCAGAAGCTGTGAATGCTCCAACACTGGACGTTTTTAAGAAGAAACTGGACAGCCATGTGTCTGAAATGATATAGGGTTTCCTCCCTGAGCAGGGGGTTGGACTAGATGACCTCCAATGTCCCTTCCAACTAATAATGATGATGATGATGATTATAATAATAATAATATATATTCAATAGCTAAGGGAGACATAGACTTATTTTTTGGCTGGCTCTTTAATTTTTCCATGCAACAATGAGATAAGAAAATTACTTACAATACTCTGTTGCTATAAATGATGTGACAGGAACAGGGCAAAGTGAAAGAGAGAGAAAAGAAAAATGCCTATATTAATCTTAGAAAATGTAAAATTAAGCATAACATCTGTGAATCATTTTGTTACTACCATTTTTACATTACCTTTCCGAAACAGTCTCCTAAGGTAAAGAAATTATAAAATATATTCATAAAATACTGAATTCAGACAAAACATTTACAATTTCTATGTCCTAAAATAAACCATAATAGCATTACAAACTGCAGGATTTTACTTCAGGAAACAATATCACTCAGGATTGCAGAGATGGCCAAGTTTCATTCAAAAACAAAAGTGATCATGAAGCTAATCCACTTGTTTATAAACATTGAGTTTAAGTGAAAAAAGAATGAAACAAGCACCTTTTAAAAATGAATGAAAGACTGGAAAAACATTTTCCAGTGGCTTAAATCTATTGCAATTGCATGCTCTGATCTTTTACAGTATTCTTCATTATTTGCTATTGCTAATTAATTTGGCATTCAGAATGCATAACTGGGCAATTTGGAAAAGGTCTCTATTATACATATTCCTAATCCCTAACAGTTCTGAAAGTCTCAGATGAGAATATAGTATTTTTAACTTTGAATGAAGAGAAAGATTTTCATTCAACACTGAAAACCACATTTGTTATGATCCAGTGCAGCATTATATTTACATAGGTCCTAGCCTGACCATCTAAAACAGTTGCTATGGAATCTGTTCCAACATATGTAGCATCAGGTTGGGGAATGCTATAACGTGGAAAAGAGTATGATTTTTCATAACAAAATCTTTTTACAGTAAAGATGCATAAATTATACATACTGAGGCAATATTTCTGTGTTTGCCATCTGTTATAGTCTGCACCTGTGAGACAGAAGGAAATAACAGGACAGGTAAGAGAACATATTTGAGAATCTAGAAGAATCTGTGATTCTTAAGAGGGAAACAGAATCTGAATATATTCACATCAGTGATTTACAAAATATTAAATTGGGACAACCAGAACAATCATACATAACTTTGTTCAAATTCAAATTAAATGAATAAAAATGCACAAACATGTTAAGGATGCATTAATAGGATTTATCCAATATTGAAAGAAAAGGAGTTTTTACAATTTGCAATAAAAGAAATGGAATTCTTTTTTAAAGTCAATAAAAAAGAAGAAACCTCTATTCAAATTGTATGGGACACGGCAAAAGCATATTTTAGAGGTTTGGCCATAACTTATCTTGCCAAAAAGAATAAGGAAAAGAAACTTGTTCAACATAGATTGAAAGAACAACTCAGTATGTTGCAAGCTGAATTACAATCAGAAGAAAAAGTTGAAAATACAAACGGAACTATTAAAACATAAGTTAAACTTACTTGAGACAAATACAATGGCACAAGAGATTAAAAGGTCTAAACAGAATTTTTTTGAAAATGCCAATAAACCTGGGAGATGGCTGTCATACAGATTAAAAAAAGAAAGAGAAAAAAGATTAATAAGTAAGCTACGGTACAGACGGTGATCTACAATGTCACAATGACTTAATGAAAAAAATTACGAAGGAGTATTGTGAGACACTGTATAAGGTGGAGACAGTTTCTAACGATGTAATTCAGGCTTATTTAAAAGACGCAAATCTCCCAAAGGTTCCTGAGAATATGCGTCAGAGGTTAAACAAGAATGTTTCAATGATGGAGATTACAGAGGCTATAAAAAAGCAAAAGAAAGATAAAACACCAGGACCTGATGGTCTTCCTGCTGAATTTTATGTAGTGTTACAACATACTATAACTCCAACTTTGAAAGACTTATGTAATGAAGTTTTTACACAGACAAAAATACCGGATTCATGGACCGAAGCCAATATTACTTTGATACCTAAAGAAGATACTGATCATACACTAATTAAAAATTACAGACCAATATCGCTACTAAATGTGGATTACAAAATCTTTGCTGCAATAATGGCAGAAAGAATGAAAAAAATTTTGAATGAATTTAAACACCCAGACCAAAATGGTTTCCTACCAAAGAGACAGATAAAGAACAATTTGAGGATTATTTTAAATGTTTTCGAGTACTATGAAATCCATCCAGGGAACCAGATGGCACTTATATTCCTTGATGCACAAAAAGCCTTTAATAACTTAAATTGGCAATTTATGTTTCAACAACTTCAAGAAATGGACTTTGGTGAAAATTTTAACAAAGCAATTCAAGCAATTTATAAGAAACAAACAGCAAGAATATTTTTAAATGAAGATTACACAGATGGATTTGAGATTAAAAAAGGCACTAGACAGGGATGCCCGTTGTCTCCTCTGTTGTTTATTCTTACATTAGAGGTTCTGGCAAGAAATATCAGACAAGATACAGAAATTAAAGGTTGGAGATTAAAGACCAGAAATATAAACTACAGACTTTTGCGGACGATTTGGTCTTCATTCTAGAGGAACCATTGCAAACAGCTGCAAAAAATTGAAAAATTTGGAGAAGTGGCTGGTCTGAAAATAAACAGGGAAAAGATTAAAGTAATAACAAAAAATCTAACAGACAAACAGAAAACTCAACTCGCTAAAATGACAAATCTTCAAATAGTTAAAAAAGTCAAATATTTGGATATTTATTTAACGGCAAAATATAGTACACTAAAAGAAGATAATTATGAGAGATTAATGAAACAAATAAAAATAGACTTGGAAAGATGGGAAAATCTTCAATTATCACTGTTAGGAAGAATAGTGATGGTTAAGATGAACATTTTACCAAAGTTAATTTTCTTATTTCAAACAGTGCCTATTAAACTTACTAAGAATTTTTTTGATGATTTAAATGCAATGATTCTAAGATTTATATGGCAAAAAAAGAAAGCGAGAATCAAATGTAAATTGTTACAAGAATCTAAGGACAGAGGGGGCTTTGGACTTCCAGATTGGAGACTTTACTATCAAGCGGGTATTTTGCTTTGGCTTACAGAATGGATTGTATTGAGAAATAAAAGATTGCTTTATTTAGAGGGACACGACCTTCAGTTAGGTTGGCATGCTTTTACATGGTACGAGAAATCTAAAGCACATAAGTACTTTCAAAATCATGCGATAAGAAGCATACTAATTTAGGAATAGGAGAAAATTAAACATAAAATATATATGAAAATACCTGAGTGGCTTTCAACAATGGAAGCATTTGCTTATCCAAATCTGATTAATTATGACAAACTGGTTAGTTATAAAGACATTTTAGATAAAGAGGGAAAACTTAAGGACAGGCAAACTTTACAACTACAAGGTATTGGCTTGACATGGTGGTCCTATTTGCAAATTCAAACAAGATACGAAAAAGATATAAAATCGACAGGTTTTTACAAAGAACAGACCCCACTGGATAAAATTTTGTTAAAAACAGATGAGAATTTGATTAGAAAACTCTATAAATTTCTTTTAAACTGGAAGATGGAAGAAGAACAAGTGAAAGAAACAATGATAGTATGGGCAAAGAACTTTGGATATTCTATAGATTTGGAAGACTGGCAAAAACTTTGGGATAAAAATATTAAGCTTACAAAAGCGGTAACATATAAAGAAAACTTATATAAGATGTTTTATACATGGCATATGACACCAGTTCACTTAGCAAAAATGTTTAAAAATGCTTCGGATATCTGCTGGAAATGTAAAGAACAGTCAGGCACTTATTACCATGCCTGGTGGACATGCCCTATCGCTAAAAAATACTGGTCTAAGATCCATAGAGGGTTGGAAAAGATGATGAAACTACAGATAGAATTTAAACTGGAATTGTTTTTGTTAGGAATATTAGGACCTAATTATGGTAAAGAGAATGACTACTTGATATTGCATGTTTTAACTGCTGCAAGGATAGTATTTGCCCAATTTTGAAAAATGAGAATTTACCATCTGATCAGATTATTATTACCAAAATTTTAGAGTGTACAGAAATGGATAGACTAACATTAGAAATGAAAGAAAAAGATGATTCAATTTATTTAGAACTTGGGAAAAATTTTATCAATGGTTAGAGACACGTCAGAACTTGAAGGATTCAATATTTTAGAATAGATGACTGATTTTTAATCGAGTTCTAACTAACATTTTGATGATATGATTACTTTTCCTGATTTACTGATTCTCATTTCTTACTTTTGACTCTTAGGATTTTTTTTGAGATTTTATTAGTAGTGTTTACTTAATAGATCAACGTATTTGTTTACTAATTGTTTTTAATATGTTACAGTCTAAGCTTTGCTAAAAATGGTTCAATATATTTACTCATTATTATGATCCGGACGGTTTCTTGTTTGTTGAAATACGTGGTTGTATCTATCCTTATTTTACCCTAATTCCTTATTTCCTTCCCCTCCCCCATTCCTTCCACCTTTCCCTTTACCATACCTGTATTGTTCCTATTTTTCCTCATTTATATAAACTCAATAAAATTTTGTTAAAAAAAATAGGATTTACCCACAAGCTTCTTATAACAGGTATAATTTGACATTGGCCCTAAGCCTGTTACTGAAACCTCTTCCCGTTAATATTAGTGAGAAGTAAAATGAAATGAGCAACCATGCTTACACAGAGAATTCTCTTTCCATATTGCAATAACATGGGTAGCAAACTAGTGTTTTTTAAAGCATTGCTGAGTACAGATATTCCTCAACTTACAACTACAATTGAGCCCAAACATTTTTTTTACTAAGCAAAACAGTTGTTAAGATGCCCCATTTTATGACATTTCTTTTGTTGAGTGAATCACGGCTGTTAAATGAATCTGACTTTGCTTGTCAGAAGGTCGCAAAAGGTGATCATATGACCCAAGGGTTACAGCAACAATAGTAAATATGAGTCAGTTGTTCAGTGCCTGAAGTTTGATCAGGTGACCATGGTGATGCTGCAGTGGTTATGAGGGTGAAAAATGATCATAAATCACTTTTCAGTACTGTTGTAACTTTGAACAGTCACTAAATGAACTGTTGTAAGTTGAGGATTATCTGTAATCATGCCCAACAGTCACATGTAACAGGGCAACTGATGAGAATTTTCTACTTCTTCTTTACATTTTTGTTATACAATCAGAAAAGTTGTAGTAGAAAAAGGGATAGATGTCCTCTGTTTTGTATGACAGAACATAATAAAAGTTTATGTGGAAAAGCTTCAGCAAAATGTGTACAAATACAGGTAAACACATTCTAAATTCTTTGTGATGGTACTCAAGGTATAAAAATGCTTGTCAATAACTGCTACAATTTTCTTTTTTCCCCATGACTTGTTTCTATGTTTTCAATACCAAAGCCCAGAGAAATTAATTAGATGATTATTATTTTTAAGCAGATCATTGCTTCCAGCATGAAAAATAAAACAGTAGGATACTATTCAAAGGTTTTACAACAATATAACAAGCTATCATTTAAAAAAAAGAGCAGTGAGTTCCCAATGACTTTGAGAAGCCCTTGTGCAAAAATAGGCGGAATCAATTTCACCTCTAATACATGTGCAAGTGCTTCCCTATGACTATCAAGTAATAATAACAAAACTCCTTTTTTCATTTAAATTAAACAAAAAAATGAAGAAATCTTGAATAAATGCAGTTAAATTCAGTTCTCTAACAGGATTCTAATTCTAGAATTTGTTCACAAGAAACCCTTTATTTAAGCCCATTTTTTCCACCTGGAAAAAAATTTGAATCCGTTTCTTGCAAAACAAATAAGCCTGAAGTAGATACGTTGTCTTCGCTGTGTGATTTTTACCATCCAATTTTGCAAAATAACTCTGATCTACCTCACTCGCCCAGTCAAAAAGAGCAATAATCCCACCCACTCCATGTAAAAATCGCTTCTTTGGGAAACGCCCCTATCAAGAGGTCAAACCAATGCAAAAGCCTCTTTCTCCATTTGCGCCGCCTATCAGGCTCATCCCAACCAATCAGAAAAATCGCAGGAAGTTTCCCCCATTTCTCCCCTGAACAAACCGAAGTATTCGATTTCATTTCGCATCCCGTAAACTCGATGTTAAAATCGTATCTAATAAACCTCTCACCGATCGAGGTACCAGCAGAGTCGGCCTCCAAAGCTGCCTAGCTGTGCTCAAAACCACCGAAACGGCCATCCTTCAGTCTCCTTCGGCTATACGAGCATGGAGTGGATATTAAGACCCAGATATCGCGAGACTTAAAACGAAATCCCGCGCGAGTCTCCATATTCCCGCGCGAGTGATTGCACGAAGCTCAAGCTCCAAATGTGGAAAAAAGAAAAACTGTAATCTGTCTTTGCGACCATAAAGATAGAAATATTTTCCCTTCTATGTATAGCTTCAATTGCGAATTGAGTTTTTCATTCATATTATAGTATTTCGGAATCTGGCGTTGTTGTTATTTGTTGTTATTAGGAATCCCTTGGAATCATTTGAAAATGGCGAGATAAAACTACTGTAATACAATGTGTTTATCATTTCCAATGGGACACAACGTTACTATCGCATTGCTTTTTATGCAAACATGCACATAAATTATGTCTTTTTGTAGTTAAGGGAAGAGATGTGTTATTCCCGATTGTATAAAAACCTCAACAGCTTGAATTGTTACTGCAAAATTCCAATAGTTTGCATCAAAATTATTTTTAAAAGCCAATCGCACAATCTTGAAATCTCATATTGCAGAATTTAACTTTATTTATATCTTACTATTGTAGTCTGCGGAACTGAAAAATAACTTAAAACGAGACTCTAGGAACTGCCATTCACTCGAACGTTGTGGGAGAAATCGCATGCCTGTCAAGCGGTGTCCTGCACTCAAATCCAAAATTCAGTGACACAGGCAGATAGGCAACCTTATTGAATTATTCTGAATGAACTCATTGCCTTCTAACTCTCCTGGTCATATCAATGTTCAAAATCATGGATTAAAACAACAAATCTTCCGACTGTATCAAAGGTAACACCCATCACGTCGTCACCTTCATAATTCCTCCTTCTCCCCCACCCCTTTCCCAGCAGCATAACACAAAGAATGTAACCCCACTTGGGTAGTATTCGGGGTTAGTCTATCACATTTCTCTATGGTGTTCCCTCTATAGAATCCCCTCCCAGCACAGGATCAAGTGACGACTTATCTATGGTCACAGACTTCCTAGAGCGGTGACATTTATAAGTAGTGCGCAGGCGCTGACCACTTTCTTTCCGTTCGGTGAGGTACGTACGTGTGTGATGGCGGTAATGCGGTTCAGGGAAGGGGAAACAAACTGGGCCCCAGACCGGGTCTCATTTTGAACGTCGGGATTGAAATACTGTACCTTTTTTTCTTTCAGACCCGCAATCATGGGCCGCCGACCAGCACGTTGGTGAGTTAGTGAAACGCTTCATCGCGAGGATTAAGCAAAGGGAGCGTGGCTGCTTTTCTTTGGGAAGGCGATGGGCTTCTTCCGGAGGAGGGAGGGAGGGAAGGAAAGCCAGGCTTACTCTTAAGATAGTGTTTCTTTCTTAAAGTGTGGTTGGGGGACTCCTGGGGGTCCCCCAAGGACCTTTCGGGGGGATAAAATCAAAATTGTTTGATTTTGATATTGAACATACTTGTACAGATAAGAAACAATGTCACTCTTACAGGGTTTTTTAAAAAAGGTTTTGTTTCATAAAAATGATATCTGACGGGTTTAATTTTGCTATTTTTACATGATCCAGTAAATACAAATGAATCAGTTTTATAACATAAATGCTGGCAAATATAAGCCAAATGAACAAAAAAAATGTTCCTTTTTGAGAGATGTTTCAGCCATCTGTCAGAACTTTGCCAATCACAGAAGCATTAATTAATGAACATTTTCCCTCTTTATTCATTGAGACAAGCAAAGTGTCTATGGATGGTGATTGTTAGCAAAGTTCAGGATTGTCCATTATTTTAGATTTCTAGTCTTTTGCTTCATGATGCAGGGCAGCTTTTAATTTAAACCATCATAGGTTATGTACAAATAGTAAGAACTCACCTGGAACTAAAGCATAAAATTCCCAGTGGCAAATGAACAAAGTGCCAAGAGGGCTAGATTATTCTATTCCATTGTAGTCAATAAAAATGTAACAATGTACTGCAGGAAGCAATTCTCTGCTATATCTCTTGTCGTTTTTTCTTCAGACTAATAAATGGGCTTGTACTAAAAGGATGATATGAATGAGGTAGTTTACCTCTAAAGCCAATTTCTTGATTTCCCACTTACTCAATTTCATATTTTCCACTAAAAGTAACAGATTGGTTAATTTGAAATTGTTAAGACCACCATACTAAGGAATAGCTCTCTAAACTTATTTCACTGAAAGAGGGTAATGTCAATTTATTTAAATCAAGGGACTGCAGTTTCCCACTCAAAATTGTATTTTTCCTCTAGTTATCGATACTGCAAGAATAAGCCTTATCCTAAGTCCCGCTTCTGCAGGGGTGTTCCTGGTAAGTAGGGTATTAAAATTTCTTGAGTTTAACTACATTTAAAAATCTATTTAATAATATGTATATCTGTAGCTTTGGAGAGCCATGTGGTATTGATTCTGTTTTGGTATTGGAGGATCCACTAGCCTGGTTCCTATTTTAATGAGTAATTTCACAATTGATAAGCTTATCAGAAATGTTTTGTTTCAATGTGATCTCATATGAGAATATTTACTTTCCCCCTCCCCTCCCCAGATCCCAAGATCAGGATATTTGATCTGGGCAGGAAGAAGGCGAAGGTTGATGAGTTCCCACTCTGTGGGCACATGGTGTCAGATGAATATGAGCAATTGTCATCAGAAGGTAAGGAGCAGTAGCAGATAGTACAGCCTATCTGCTTGAATGCTACTGATATTTATAATCTGCCGTATTTACAGCTTGCATTTTCCTTTAGCTCTAGAAGCTGCTCGTATCTGCGCCAACAAATACATGGTGAAGAGTTGTGGCAAGGATGGTTTTCACATCCGTGTGCGCCTGCACCCCTTCCATGTCATCCGCATCAACAAAATGTTATCCTGTGCTGGAGCTGACAGGTAAAAAATGTATTACAGAGCCAGTTTTGGTGTCTGGCTTGTGGGAGAGCATGAGAATGAATTTGCAGTCAATTAAGCCGACCAACCACTGTTGCTATCAGCGGCTGGTGTGCACTGTCTGCACACAGCAATTCCCTTGGTTGTGTACGTGCCCTGTTCGTTGTACAGAGCACCTTAAGGGACCTTGGGAACATATATTAGTCAAGTATAGTAACGATCAGAACGATCAGTCTTGAGAAATTATGCTAAGAGTTTGATTGGTGGTTTGTTGATGGCATCAGTATCAGTGCATTGTGCCGATTGCAAATTATGCTTTGGCTTCTCATTAGGCTCCAGACTGGAATGCGTGGTGCTTTTGGCAAGCCTCAGGGCACTGTGGCCCGTGTGCACATTGGCCAAGTCATTATGTCCATTCGCACCAAGGTGCAAAACAAGGAGCATGTAATTGAAGCGCTGCGCAGAGCCAAATTCAAATTTCCTGGACGTCAGAAGGTAGGCTTCATAAATAAGTTAAATATATGTTAAATATCTCAGTTTGCTTGTGAGATCATGTCATTGCATTGCTATTCTTATCTCTGATTTATTACATTTAATGTCTTACTGTAATCCAGATAGACTTGTCAGTTCCATAAGAATTCCTTTTTATTTCCAAATCCACTGAGTGCTAGAAGTAAATCACCCACTGGGCTTGGGATTCTTATTTGTTGACAGGATATCTCTAAATAATGAATAGAATAGGAATAAAGGGGGGGAGGGCAGAAATAGGGGGGAAATGTAAAAACATGGGCTAAATCTAGCTGGGGAGTGCAGAGACAAGTATTGTCCCCAGTGCATCTATGGGAGAATGGTAATGTTTCTCAAACTCAGCAAATTTAAGACGTATGGACTCTCAGCTCCCAGAATTCTCCAGCCAGCAGAGGTTTAGATTGATGCCAATTGGTCCATTGTAATCCCTCTTTTTTCCTTTTCTGATCACATGATTTAGAGCAGACTTTCTCACTACACAAATGCACTGTAGCATGCAGATGAAGTATGTGGGAAACACCAATACAATTCAGCACAGAGAAGAAAATATAAACACCTCCTATGTCCGCTGCTGATAAACGCCTCCTATGTCCGTTGCAATCCAAGAGACATATTCTCCATTCTTTCCCTGCCTTATTTGCATGTTATTGTAACTGCCTGTAAATCAGACATGTCAAACAAGGCCCGGGGGCCATATGCAGCCCGCAAAGTGGTCTCATGTGGCCCGCGAAGCCATCCTGGAAACAGTGAGGGAACGGCCCCCACTGCCTTGGCCCTGGCCAGCCGGGAGCCAATGTACAATTTTGTGGTAGCCATCTATGCTGAAACGCATTCATTCTTAGCTCCACAAGGCTGTCTGGAAACAGCGAGGAACCAGGAGAACCTTGAGCAGCAGTCTTGAGGAAGTGGGGCTGGGTTTGGTGCCGCGGGTGCTCAAGGGCCAGGCTGGGCATTTGACCTCTGCTGCCCAGGGCTCCGGGCAGCCCGCACCACCATCCAGCTCCCCCCTCCCCCCTGCATGGCCTGAGAGGAATAGAGGCTCCTCCAGTGGACCATGCCTTGGCACTTGCCCTGGTCTCACCCCCTTCTGCCAGAGACCCTCAGATCTGTCCCATTCCTGCCCAGGCCCCCACAGGCACCCTTGACGCAAATGATGTAGAGCTGACCACACTCACCCAGTAGGCCACATCCACCCTGACCACATCCACCTGCCCCCCTGAGAGCAACCGCAATGATGATGCAGCCCTCAGTAAAATTGAGTTTGACACCCCTGCTCTAGATGGAATGAGAATGTAGGCATTTGTGACTCTTAGCTCCTTGAAGACAATTGTATAGGCTGCTTCATTCAGACTTTTCAGCACATATTGGATTCCTGGCCAATCTTCTCATTTTTTTTCTCTCCTCCCCTTTTCCAGATCCATATTTCTAAGAAATGGGGCTTCACCAAATTCAATGCTGATGAGTTTGAAGAAATGGTGTCTGAGAAGCGCCTTATCCCTGATGGATGTGGAGTTAAATACATACCCAACAGGGGTCCTCTAGATAAATGGCGTGCCTTACATGCAGCATGAGAGTCTGATCTAACTAGAGGACAAGTGTGTTAACTTCTTGACAGAAAAGGCATCAAAATAAACAGCTCTGTATACCTACTGTGTGATCGTTACTGCTAGGGTAAGAAGGGGGATCTTTGAAAAATTGTAATTTTCACATTAGCAAATTTCTCTTCCTGATCTGTTACCTACATACGTAAGGAAGGGACAGAAGCCCAAAATTGGCATGGCAAAAATTTAGGATAGAATTCTTCTGTGGTTTTACAACATTTATATTTTCAGTAGGAATGCCTGAAATGCCTTATGTGTAAAGTTATCAATCTGATCTTGGCAACAGACTGATGTAATAAGCTACTTTCTATACAGACTGCTGGAGTTTACTGATCATTAAATTGAGTATTTAGTTTGTTCAATTTAAAAAACTTCCTTCAGAACAGGAAATTGAGGGTTGTTAGGGGTAAATTTGATATTGTCCATGGGGTTTTCTTGGCAAAAATACTGGAGTAAATTGCCATTTTCTTCTCCAGCCGACCGTGTTTGATCAGAACACTCCATTAATGACCTGTCCCTCTTGGGTGGCCCTGCATGGCACAGCTCATAGCTTGATTGAGCTGCACAAACCTCTTCAACACAACAAGGCAGCGATCTATGAAGGGGGTTTATAGTCTTAGTCTTTTTAATGTTGAATTTCAAGCCAGCTTTTGCACACTCCTCTTTTTTGATGAAAGAGGAGAGTGCAAAAGTTTGCTTGAACCTCAGCATTAAAAAAAATTAAGATCATGGCATCCGGTCCCATCAGTTCCTGGCAAATAGAAGGGGAAGATATGGAAACAGTCATAGATTTTTTTTTATTTTTAGGGCTCCAAGATCACTGCAATCATGAAATTAAAAGACGTCCCTGTCAGGCCTATAAAAGTAAAAGAACTTTTCACTTCAAAGAATGGAGCTGAGGGTTTTTCTTTGCTAAATATCTAAGTTGGGACAAGCTGACAGCCCCTTGGGAAGAATGCTATGGCAAATTTTGACAGCACGTTTATCTCTCTCCTTTTTTATATGCAAACAAATGTCCATATAGTCAAGGTTATGGTTTTCCCAGTAGTAATGAATGGCTGTAGGAGTTGGACCATAAAGAAGGCTGAACTCTGAAGAATTGTGCTGGAAAAGACAGAATCCCTTGGACTGTAAGGAAATCAAATTGGTCGATCCTAAAGAAAATCAACCCAGTCTGTACTTTGGAAGAACAGACAGATGCTGAAGCTGAAGCTCAAATATTTTGGCACCTAATGAAAAGAAAGGACTCATTGGAAAAGACCTTGATGTTGGAAAAGATTGAAGGGCCAAGGAGAAGGGGACAGCAGAGGATGAGATAGTTAGATAATGTCATCAATGACCATGAATTTGGGCAAACTCCAAGGGGCAGTAGAGGACGGGGGTGGGCCGGCGGGCCCTGGTCCATGGAGTCATGAAAAGTCAGACATGACTTAGCTGAACAACAGGATAAATTAGAAGTTACTTAGCTCCAAGAACTAGTAGTTGAATACATAGCTACCGGCACTGAGCTATTAAAATGTGTTTTAAGTATTTTAAATCTCCAGACTGAAAAAGCTACTTTAGTCTTCGGTAATATAGTAGTTCTTTGGCAGAAGTGTGAGAAGACTCAGATGTGGACATTTAATTACTATTAAAGTCCCATGAGGGCTTTCTAATTTTCATACAAGCTAAAATACATTCAAGTTCTACAGTGAGAGCCAATTAAGAGTCAATTGCATATTTGATCATCCCAAGATTTGGATAACTGCCTTTAGACTGAAATATTACAGAACTTAACTGTTGGATGGACAATGTAGTCCTGCCAGCAGTTTTGGAATTTCCAAGTCATACTTTGTCATTCCCGCTTAGCTTCAGTTGAGGTCAGCCAGGTGCTGCTAAGACTGAACTCAGAATAAGCACTTGCCAGTTGCATTTGTTCTTTCTCTGTCATAGTTGAGGGAGAATTATGTTGCTGGAGCCAAGCAGGTCTGTTGCCTATTATCTTGAGATAATAGATTTTATCCCACCTTTATTTTTATAAATAACTCAAAAGTGGATATAACTAATATTCTCCTATTTCCCCCATAACAAAGTGAGGTGAGGCTAGGTGTTGAGAAAATAACTGATCCAAAATCATGCCTAAGGTGAGACTAGAAGTCAAACTTTCCTGGTTTCTATTCTGGTGCCTTAATCAATAGGCCCGTGTGTCTCTACCTCAGCAATTTTAAGATGTATGGACTTCAACTCCCAGAATTCCCCAGCCAGCTATCGACTGAAAAGTTACTAAGGTTGAGAAGCACTGCACGAGACAAGACTATCAGGAAATTGTTCTGTACTGAGGATAGCAAAGCATTCTGGGACCAACACTGTTTAAGTGAAATAGAGACAATTTAAAAACAAGGTTGACAAACTGAAAAAAACGTAAATGGTAAAAAATGGCTCATGAGCTCCAAATTTTAAGTTACTTCCTGTTCATATCCTAACATGAAGGGCAAGAAGTCATGTAAGAATATGACATCTCTGCTATTAGAAAGTATTTGATCTGTCTCCCCTGTTACTTGGACAGAAAAAGCTACTTAAAATGCTCCCCTTTAAATCAATATGTTAACTAGACCACAAATTAGACTTAAGCCATAGTTCTCTTTACCACAGTTTATTGGGTACAATGGTGTGTTCACACAACATGGTATACCATGAATCCTATTCTAAGCCAAAATGGCTGATTTCACACAGGATATGAATTAAAAACTGATGTGATGGTTTGGTTTGTACAGCATCCTAAGTCTAAACTAATGAGACACCTATATTCACACAACATAGCAGCTGTCAAGCAACTTATAATTTAATCCTACTTCATAGAATGTCTTGAGTTCTGAATCACAAAATAATTTCATTTTAGCTCAACATTGGCTAAAAAACTGCTCACTGTTTAATGTAAAGCAATACATTGAATTTTGTGGAGTTTTTAAAACTTCTTGTTAAGTAACATCTTAATTGCACATTAAGCCTATTATCTTAAGATTGGCAGTAGCATTTTAACTTAGAGGGTTTCAGACAGCTGAATGTTTATCAAATAAACATTCAAACCTTTTTATTCAGTCTCAAATATAGGTAATAAACTTCCAGCACACTTCTTTAGGACCACAAAAGCCTATTCTGCTGCCAGTGCCTTGATACATACTTGTGGTAAACCTGTTGTTCCTGCAAATAATAACAGATAATTATTACTGCATATAGAAGAGCTGGAAAACACTATTTAGGCAACTGGGTCCACTCTCTTTCAGTTGTCCAAAGGTGCTTTATTTTCAAAAGGCAACTGGACTTTCAAGAAAGCACCTTTGGGATAACAGCGACTTAGCTGATTGAGAATTTCCATGGACACTCATTCTTTTGCTTGAACACATCCAGCAAAGCAGGACTATCTTTGGAGAACTGGCTCCACTATACAGATAGTTCTTGACTTATAGCCATTTGTTTAGTGGCTGAACTTAACAACAGCACTGGGAAAAATGACTTATGACCATTTTTTCACACGAGCGTTGCAGCATCTCCAGGGTCACCTGATCAAACTACAGCCGTTTGGCAACTGGCATGCATTTATGATGGTTGCAGTGGCTCAGGATCACATGATCCTCTTTTGCAATCTTCTGACAAGCAGTCAATGGGGAAGCCAGATTCACTGAATAACTGCAGCAATTAATTTAAGAGCCGTGGCAAGAAAGGTCAAAAAAAGGGGGCACAACCCATTTTACAACTGCTTGCTTAGCAATGGAAAATTTGAGCTCAGTTGTGCCCAGGACTATCTGTAGAACTGCTGTTCTAAGAGGGTTTGTTTGTCCCAACACTGAAATCAGGTTTTCCCGTCTGTGACTCTTTTACGAGATCACCTGGGTGAAGTTTCAGACTTTGGTCTGGGGAAAGAGATGGGATGGTGAGAATGGCAGAACTGCCTGGGACCCACCCAAAAGAAGTTCACTGTTAGAACTGGAAGAAATGGGCCAGTTCTCTCTATTCAATGGAATGGAATCCAAGGAGTTATTTCAGTATTTACGGGTGATCAACACTGAAAGTGAGCAATGAAAATTATACTGAGATTTGAAACAATGAGAAGCAAATGATAGTGATGCTCACTTCTATGACTAAAGCAACATACAAGTTGACAACATCCTGCGCTCCATTTGGCTTTTATTTAGTAGGGACTTTCTGTAGGTTAGAGATTACTTACTTCCCTCATTTCCCTTCACTTTATATAATAGGCCAGTGGACAACTAGAGTTCCTGCTGGGTCTTTGGAGCAAGCTTCAGCTTCACCTCCACAGGATAGTGATCGCTGATTTCTAAGGCCTATAAGAATGAGAAAGTCTGGGTTTTTCTGGCTTGCCAAATATAAACATTCCTTTTTGTTTAGGGAAGAGAATAACCAAGCCAGCTCACCTCTTCTTCACACAATCCAAGTTCCTTTGTGAAATTGTACGCCTTTGCTGATCCGGGCACAACAGCAGAAAGTAATTCTTCTCCATGAACTATGATTCTAAGAGGAAAACAGTGAGTGGTGGGCTCTGTTTCCAGGTTTCAGCAAGATGATTGGGGTACTATACAGATGGCCAATTTGTGTCAGGAAGCAGAATAGTGTAACATTCCTGGAGGACTGGTAGGCCTGACTGGGGAAGGGGTTCAGAAGTGTTCTGCCTGCATTTCTAACCTTAATTCAATAGATTACTCAGCAGAGCAGCCCTACTTTGTTACTAATGACTGCGTGCTCAAAGTCTGACAATGATAGGGCTGTCTGTGGAATGATGGAAACATGTTGGAGAAAGCAGATGGTTGAACTTGAAAGCTGCAGTTTAGTACCTGTCATAAGAACAGCAAGTGCGGTGGCTGACAGTGGTATCTTCTTGGTCACTGATAAGCCAATGGAAGGCAGGATGATTGCGCAGGCGGATCCTGGCCCATGCGTTCATTGGGATATAGGCACCACCTGCATTCAGGTCTCCCAGCACCATCACATTCTGTTGAGATGCAGCAGGAAGACAGGTTGGGAACAATGATTGGCTCATCTAGTTTAGCAATGTCCACCTCCTGCTCCCAGAACATACCTCCGTTTTCCACCAGTGCATTAGTTCCATGCAAACTTCAAATAGCAGGTCAAGCTCATGGGCAGCTTCCCGAGGACAGGTATGGTGCAAGAGTAGCACAAAGTCTGAAGCAACTGTGGAGAGGTGATAGCAATACAGACAACTGTGAACTGATAAGGATTTGTCCACATCTACCAATACACTTCCAGAGACCAGCTTGATGTAGTGATTAAGGCACCAAGCTAACAACCAGTCTGTGAGTACTCTTCCTTAGCACAGGGGTCTTCAAACTTGGCCCTTTTATGACTTGTGGACTTCAACTCCCAGAATTCCTCAGCCAGTGACCTTGAGCCAGTCACTTTCCCTCAGCCGTAGGAGGCAGAAGAGGGCAAATCACTTCTGAAAAAGTTGCCAAGAAAATTGCAGAGACTACAGCAGGCAACAGGTGAAGGCATAAAAAAGCAGTACACCTCCAAGCAGCTTGGAAGCCCTTCCTCATGGCTACAAAAATTGGACCCATGGCACAACTGTATCTTGTGTTGTTTTTGTCCTTTTTGTTATTTGCAACTCATTATGGGCATTTAGTATATTATACTTCAAGAATATTACACAGTACTCTTTAGAGTTATATTAAGCTTTTCTATTTAATAACTGTGAAATTATCAATACTGGTCCAAAAAAAACTACTTGGATGTTATTGAATACAAGATAGGATGCTGAATTATTACTCCAATGTATTTTTTTAAGCACAGGATACATAATATCCTGCCTATAACCCCACTAACTCCTCCATTATTAGTTAATGCTCTAGCCTAGAGCGAAGAGAAAAATTAGCCCAAAAAAAAAAAAACTCAGGGACAGTTTCCACCATATTTACTGGGTTATATTTCTTATAATTGTGTACTCCTTCAGAGCTGTAAAGTTGTGGTTACAAAATACAAGGATTTCAGTTCTTGATATATTCTTTTTCTTCCTATATCTCACTGGATGGTCACTGAGGTCCTGGAACTTAAGAAATTTTTGCCCAGAACAAGTTCTTAGACTTAGGAACAACCGTTAAAGCTTACCTGTGTATGGGGAATGGAAACGCACAGCAAAGGGTCCCCTAGCAAAATCTCTGGCATCCTCATCTCCAACTTGACATTGAGCCATTACTGACACAGCATCCCGACTGTCAGTGAAAAAAATAATCAGGATAAAAAGGTTGTGTCCATGAGGATTCATTATCCAAAAAACTTAAGTATGGACTCTTCCTCTGGTTATGTTTCATTGGTACATCAGGCTTTTGGCAGTTGCCCCAAACTCAAAGTCTTTCCGTCCAAGCATGATTCTCACAGAATCTTTTTTAGCAAGGTTTATTGAAATGAAAGGAATGTAAGATTTTTCAGTAATTGTACTATTTCCCATTGAGAAGCAATTCACGCCCTACTTCCTTAGGACTTTTCTAGTTTCCTTTAATGAATTTTCCTGTAATCCAGAGAAGAGAATTTTTCAATGGTAGCGAATTGTAGCTGGTTGTTTACACAACTGTTAGTTATCTGAATTTTTATCAGAGAACTCACATTACATCATGCATGAAGGTGAATTAAATTTGAGACAACCTTCCCCAAATCACCTTGGACAATTGCTCTTACCCAGGATTGTATGGCCCAAGGTTCTATTGAAGGACCAGATGGGAGACAGACCATCCAAGAGAAAATCTTATCTACATTTATGTGATCCTTAAGAACTCACATAAAGTTGATGGCACATAATCAATCATAAACAAACCTACTGGGAAGATAAATCATAGGCAGGACAGAGATATTAGGGAATAAAGACTGGGATTTAAATGTCGATACACAGGATAACATTTGATAGCAGATACTTCAGCCAGTGCTGGCTTTGGTTCTGGAAGTTCTGGTTTAATGCTATTTTTAGATCCACAAATATTACCGATACACAAAGACATTCTGCTCCTTGTAGCTGCTTCGTCCAAGTCTCTTGCTTTCTAGGCAGGTGTAGCGATGAGAAGGATCATACCTGCCATATGGGGAATGGGAAAGGAGAAAATCAGTGATGCCATGTTACTTAAAAAAAATTAGATGCTACCTTCCCATTGAGACTTTATAGTTCATTTCAGATTTAAGGAAAATGGTCTATTACCTCTTCCAAAAGAAGGGATAAAACTGATGGTGGTGATTTCTCTTTTCCCTGATTCTAAACTAATATTTACAGGGAGATACTTTGTCCCAGAAGCTATGGTTGCTTTCTACCTGTTTTAGAATCAATACAATACATTTCACGGCATACAGAAGAATGCCAAGACACATTTACTTCCCAAGTAAATATGCAAAGTATTTAAGGATGGTCACAGTAACACTGGCATCTCAGAAGAACATTCTGTAAGTGTCCTCCTTTGGATGTACAAAGGCTGCAATTCATTAAATAAGAATGTGCTGTGCTTCATGACACTCAAATTCCAGAGCTCAGAAATGGAATAAGACTGCAGTTCAGTTGTAGAAAAATTAAGAATTTTTTTCCTGCCACCATTAAAACAACCTATATGAATAATAGGTACAATATCAGTGTTACCTAGTCCAGTGCTTTTCTTTCTCTGATGCACTGCTCAAAGTGTGATCCTGCATTTTCACCCTATTGCTTTATTATCTGCAGATCACCTTATTTTGTGGTACATAATGATTAGAAGTGTTTTCTAGTACCTATTGAGCTTCCGCAGTAGCATCTGAATAGCCAGTCCCTTGGAGTCACGCACTTCTTGCACAGCAGAGATATCACAACGAGACAGGATCTGGTAATGAGAAAAGAGATACACTTGTTATTGTTATGCCCATCCACTGCATTCATGGACTTGAGATGTTCACCAAAGCATCTTGGGAATTTTGAAGTCCACACATTTTATAAATGCTAAGTTTGAAAAAACTGCTCTATATTATTGGCAAGAGAATCTGATGCTGCATGGAATATTAAATATCATAGGCCAGTACTACAAAGCTATCTGGTGTCCCATAAGATAAGTGATAAATGTTGTCAGGCTTCACACAGCTAGGCAAGCAGAAGGAAGAAAGGATCACATGGACTTCTGCAAGATGTCTTCAATGCTGGAAGATGTCTTCAATGCTTGGAAACCATAAGAAGAATTTCCAATCCTTATTTAAACTGAGTTTGCTAAAACAGTCTCTTTGAATGAGCTCAAATGCTTCTTCCTGAATTTCTCACTACCTGTGATGAGTAGCTTTTTATAAAATAAACTGCCAGATGACTTTTCTTTGGTCTCCTGATTGTTTATATCTTCTCTCCCTTCCATTATTTTCTCAGTCTCTTCACTCCCTCTTCCAATTTTTCATGATGCTGTATCTCATAATAGTTCATTGAACATTCATTGACAAGAATTAGATCATCCCAATCTTGTTAAAAGAAGAAATTCTTTTGGTTAACTAAATATGACTGTTATGTATTAGCCTAGGCAACTTTCTGATCTTTGGTCAACCAGGTTCAGTACTGTCAACTTCAAGATTGGCAAGCAAAAGAAGTCCTAGAGCTTCTCCAGACTACCAAACTCCTTGTTTGCACCTCCCCAATCCCTTCCTCCTATGTTTGCTGGAAAAATAGCAACAATTTCCCACCTTTAATTTGTATCAAGAATCCTAAAAATGCAGGGTAAGTTCTAAAATCTACAAAAATAAATAAATAAAAGTAAATCCAAATTCCCTCTGAAATCACAGGAGGAAAAGAAAATCCTGCTCCTGGTCATTTTGCAAAAGTCATACCTCCAACTGTAGCCCTCACCAATCCCAGACTGACAAACACAGCTCCAACCACCAAAATATAAAAGCAGTTGCAGCACTTTCCAATTCTGCTAGACTCGAGAGACCCAAACCGAATCAGAGACTTTTCCTAGCTTTCAAACACTGCCACTTGCCTTATAGTAACATACTTTCTACTTAGCTGAAGTGGGGTCAATTTTTATTTTAAGATGTGGTATTTCCCAATTGATGAATGAACTGTTACATTTCTCCTTTTGGTTTGTATACTATGCCTGACTTCTGTCACAACCACATTGGATGAGGACACTTCTATTTCTTTGTTAGATTTATATTTCACCTTTCATTAGGATATCAAGGTGGCAAACACACTCCTCCATTTTCCCCCACAACAGCTACCCTGTGTGATGGGTTGGGCTGAGAGAGTGACTGACCCAAAGCAGCCCTGTAACTTCCATGCCTGAAGGAGGACTTATCCATTTCTGCCCTTCACCATTCCAGCTGTCCCTGGATCACTTCTGGATCTGGGTTGTGTGCCAGCCTCTCTCACTGCACTATTGTCCACCCACTAGTCCAGGGATCCCCAATCCCCGGTCTGTGGGCTGGTACCAGGCCGCGGCATGCCAGCAACTAGGCCGCACAAACAAGCAAAGCCACATCCGCAGGACGCAGACAGCACACAAAACCACGCCCCCTCCAGTCCACGGAAAAACCTCTCTCCACGTAACCGGTCCCTGGTGCCCAAAAGGTTGGGAGCCTCTGCACTAGTCCAGTCATAAACTCACCTGGACAAGAGCTCTCATCACCTTCTGGTTGGCTGCCTTGGCTTGTCCAAAGCTTCGTATGTTGAAAGCACAGATTTTGAAAGATGCAGCCACAAGCATCATGTCCAGCAAGAGAAGCAGAAAGATGAAGGCTTGTGCCATGGGCCTGATATGTATTTGATTGCAGGAGAGAGCATGTGTGTCTCCAGCTGCATAGGATGAAAACAATGGTGCAAAAAACTACATGGCCACATCAACAAGAGGGAGGACACTACCTTTTGTGCTGCATGTTGAGTTAGGTATGGAACAATGTTGTAGAGAAAAAGCTGGACTTCACTAGGCTAGTCCCCTCCCATCTCATTCCTGATTCTTTAGCATCCCCTGTGGATAGACCTCAGGAACATTCTGGTAGGACCCAAACTTTGTTTTAAAACTCTGTTTAGAAATCTCCACCCCCTACCCTACTGTCATCTAGATGTGCTGAAATGCAATCCCATTAGTGCTCAAGCTGAGGAAGGCTGAATGAACCACACTAGACAATTCACCTTTTCAAATAAATACTTTTATTAGTTTTTCATAAAGATTGTCAATCCAGTTTAATGGTACAATTGCAATTGGGCATGTACAGTGTAAGCATAACAACACCCACTGATATTACAAACATGTATATGTGTATGGCTGTACAGTATGCACCTGTGTGTGAGTGTGTGTACCTTCAAGTCAGTCTGGACTCCTTGTGACTGCTTGGATTAGTCCCTGCAGGTTTTTAGCAAGGTTTTCACCCTTATCTCCTTCCTAGGGCTGAGAGAGAGTGACCAGCCCAAGGTCATCCAGCTGGTTTGGCCTAAGGCAAGACTAGAATTAACTGAGTCCCGGTTTCTAGCCTGGTGCCTTAAGCACTAGACCAAACTGGCTCTCTTGTATGCACATGCATGCTTACATAAATTTTATCACATCAAATAAGATTCTAATAAAGGAGAATATTTGTAGTTCAGGTTTGAAATGTTTCATTACCCAAACTAGGTAACATTATGAGTGCTATAGTAGTAAGGAGTGGGGTTTGCTGTCAGTTTATATACCAGAATATAAATTGACAGCAAACAACATTCCACACTAGCATTGATGGTGTTGCCTAGTTTGGGTAATGAAATGTCTGCAAGAAAAAAAGCAAGCTCAGAGAACACCATGGACCCCTCAAGCAAGATTCTTCTTGAACCAACTGTGCTGGGAACAAAGCCTTCCATTATATTTTCCATTAATAGTGTTGTTTAAAAATAGTGCAACTAATGGAAGAACAAAATCAAAAAACAAGATTTAGTCATGAGAATAGAGCTAAGCCATAAATAAAGAGTGACAGTGATGGAAAATAGTGCAACACATACCAGGGAATCTGCTGAAACCAGTTCAAACAATGGTGCATCATTTAGAAAGAATTAAGAAGTTCCTGTTTAAAACCAGTGTTCATTCCTTAGTTAATATTACATGTATTTATACATTGCCAGACTCCTTAAATTTTTTGACACCAGTTTTGCAAAATAAACAGTGGAACCATAAAACCAGTACCTGATATAAAATCCACAAAACTATCCATCTACTTCAATATTCATTAACTGGCAACACCTTTTTGGTTAAAATTTAAAATTGCAATAAAAGCTAGCTTAATCATGTGCTTAACTTTAGACAGCAGTAAAAGTGCAGAAAGCGCTGAAATATATGAATCACCGGAAATACATTAAGATTGCTGAAAAGGATTTTTTTTTCATATAATGATCTAAAGTCTCCTGTGTTTTCCTTTATCGTGACAGATCTGTCACGAAGATGCATATTAAAGCAATAAATGAAGGACTTAGGAAAGTTACAGATTCATGTGGAAAATTTTACTCATGGGTTTGTCCCTATTTATTTAGGCCAAGATTTATTTTTTTTAAGCAGTACAGGGAACTGAACTTCAACATGTAAATGTCAATGCTATTTTTGCTGGCAATTTTCAGATATTGGTATAGCTTACCTTCTGCTGTAAAATATATAATATTTATACCATAAAAAATAAATCTCCCACTGCTCGGTGGGATAGGTTGGAATCACACACACACAGACAAAACATACGCATTATTCTTTTGTGAAACATTCTCTGAGTCAAGAGGAAAAATATCAAGTGTCCTATTCCCATGATTTTGTGCTGATGTTTACGTTCCTTGTTATTCACTCCCCACTTCTTTTTTTAGTAGCCAGATTCCCTGTTTGGCTACTAAAGAAGGGAGACTACCGGTAGTCCTTGACCTACGACCATTTGTTGCGAAGTCGTGTCTGACCCATCAGGCCTTCCTGTCCTCTGCCATCTTCTGGAGTCCATTTAAGCTCATGCCTACTGCTTCAGTGACTCCCTCCAGCCACCTCATTCTCTGTCGTCCCTTTCTTCTATTGCCCTCAATCTTTCCTACCATTAGGCCCTTCTCCAGTGAGTCCTTCCTTCTCATTAGATGGCCAAAGTATTTGAGTTTTAACTTCAGGATCTAGCCTTCTAAAGAGCAGTCGGGGTTGATCTCTTCTAGGACTGACCGGTTTGAACGCCTTGCAGTCCAAGGGACTCGCAGGAGTCTTCTCCAGCACCATAGCCAAAATTTCCATTGCCAAGCAAAACAGTTAAGTGAGCTGCGCCCCATTTTATGACCTTTTATGCCACGGTTGTTATGTGAATCATGCAGCTGTCAAACGAATCTGGCTTCCCTCATTGACTTTGCTTGTCAGAAGGTACTGTAGCTGGGAAGGTTATAAAAAGGGATCACATGACCCCAGAATAGTGCAACTGTCATAAATACATGCCAGTTGCCGAACATCTGAATTTTTAAAACACGACACGAGGCCATTAAGTGTGAGAAAACTAATCATAAGTCACTTTTTTAGTGCCATTGTAACTCTGAATGGTCACTAAAGAAAGGTTGTAAGTCAAGGACTACCTCTATACATAAGCAGTCTCCAGAGCATTTTATTCATGGACGCACTTATTGAAAATGCAGTTAATTCACCCTGTCCATTGAAGACGGAAGAAATTGCATTGAGCAGAAATGACAGAAAGCTAAATACGGGTTAAATTTGGATTTCCTCCCAAAGAAGTCTTCTGTAGCAGAAGGAAATACGCTTTTGTTTTAAATTGGAAAGTATCCATCAAAGGAATTTTCAATAGAGGAATACCCAGTTTTACAAATAAAACAATGACGTACAGTTTTCCTGAAACTGTAAATACCACAGCTCCAGAATAAAATCCAAGGAGCTGATATTTTCTTTACAAAAATAAGAAAGAAAATGCCAATATTCTTTTATCTTAAATGTTAGTTATTTACCCAATTAATGCACCTCATACTGGAAAGACCACAGCCATAAGAACCCCACTGGTATTCCATAGTAAAACAGTTATAGGATTGCAAGTCAGTCAGCTATTTACATTTACGTGGTTCACTTAAGTAAAAAGTTAGATGAGGAGAGATCTTAATTTCCCCCAGCAGCTGACAGATCTTTATTTGCAAATTTAAGAAGAGGTAGGAATCCAACTTGATATCCACTGAAGTTATCCGCTGCAACAGAAAACACATGCTCATTCTTTTTGGAACAAGACAGAAAGCAAATTCATTGACTAGGGATTCAGCTGTCGTGTAAGGCCCATGTTCACTCCCTATGACTGATCCGCACATAAATGCTGCACATCTGGAATTTGTAAAATGATCACTGTTGACATGATGGCACCAGAAGCATAAAGATCTATTTCTCCATTAAAGAGATATCCAGAAGTGAGCTTCTCTCAGCTTCAACTCCCCATCTGCAAAATAGCTGAATAATGCCTTCGTGAATAATTGTTTCAAGGAATAGAGATATTACATGTAAGGTGCTTTACATTTTCTAGAATGTGGTCTAAACATTAATTATTGTCATAGTTTTTTTTCTCTAACTGAATTCCTTGGCTAAATGAAGCTCCACAGTAAAAAGAAAAAAAAGAAACGAACTGGCTCTCCATTACTTGCTTGATTAAAGAATAACTAGTTCTTGCTTTTCTTCTTTCTTCTTTTGTCTCTATGTCTCTTATTTCACTGTTCCAGAAAGCTTGGCGCACTCTTCCAGGCTGAGTTAAATTGTAAAGCTCATATCTATGGTATTCAGCTTAATTTTTGAGCTAGTAGTCTTAATGTCTTTTCATCCTACTTATTTGTTTTCATTTCACATAATGAAGAGTTATGGGCAATTTCAAATATTACACACATACCTTTGTGTCATTTTGGCTAGTCTGATTAAGATACCAGATAGACATCCTATATTTGAGATTGTCCATTTGAGGGAGAGAGGCAGAAATCTCAGTATATTGGTAGAATGCAAGATATGTCATTGCCATGTTTATCACTTGCAAAACATCACAGCAAAATCATTTGCCAGCATGATTGTTTCTCCAGATTAGATCTTCTGTCAGAATATCCAAAAATATGGGTGAAAGCATCAGTGCAAGAGAAAAGCTGATTTTCATTGCATCTTTTATTTATCCAAACCATACTCCCACTGAAATATATTTTCACAGCAGCCTCAGAACTGGCATGAAAGATTTTTATCCCATGAACTTCAGTGGAAAGATTTTTTTTTTAAAAATCCATGTACTAATGGATAGTTAGTCCATTTTCTCTATGACGGAACATAGAAAAAATAGACTATAGGACAAAGCTACAATACATACATCTCTTTGAGGAAGGTCCTGTTGTCACCTTTTTGAACTTAGATCATGAGTCTGGCCCAAGGAAGCCTTCTTTGTAACCTGGAACCCAGGTTGAGTTTCTGACGGAAGGCAAGAGTGAGACAGAAGCTATCCAGTATTCAGGATCTCTGAGGTAGTTGAGCCAAAATACAATCAAGAAGGAGAATCAAGAAGTCAGCATGTAAGGGTGTTCAAGAATATGAGTAGATACCCAAACTGAAAAAGTCTTTGTCCAAGCAATGCTCAACTGGATGAGAAAACCTTATACATTTTTACTGCCTGAAGGGTCCTTTTGCCAATCTTGATGAGAAGGATCACTCCAGAGGTAGATACTTTGGGGAGAACTACTGAGTCGGTCATCGGGATCAGAGGGTTAGTCTTCCAAGATTTTGGACTCGTGCTGGAGCCCATCCTCGGGGAATATCTCTCTAGCAGAGTGTGTGCTTTGGGCTGTTCTCTGGTATTTATATAGTGCCTGGTTGCGTATGGCTTTTTAGTTGTTGACTGGGGTGTTGATGGCCAGCTATTAAGCCATTGCCTGTTGTTTCCTTGTGCTGTCAAGCCCTTGCCTCCTAAGTACTTGATAAGCTGGTGGTAAATCATTACTCCTGTTGACTGACAAGGGGTCTCTATAATGAAGCCTTCCCAGGCTTTCTCAACACCAGGGGCTCACCACAGATGAAAGCTGAATCAACATAATTGATTCAAGTACTCTTGTGAGAGTAATAAGTACCCTTTTGGTAAGCCTCCACCTGTATCGTTCTAGGACTAGCACAACAGCCATCTTCTTCCTTCATATGCCACATCTTGAGTCTGATATCACAATTATGGTCAGCAACACAAGACCAGCTAAAGTAGCTGGCTGGAGTTTCTTACAGGATGAGACAAGTTCCACCTCTACAGGATAATGATCGCTGATCTCTAAGGCCTGGAAAGTGAAGAGAGGGGGAAAAAGGATCAGAAGTAGAAATGTTCCTATGTTCTGCTCTGTACCCAAGGGAAGAAATGCCTTCATCACCAATTCTAACACTTTAGCCCAATCTTTCCCACATCAATGCTTTTCAGAGATGTGGGATTATAGCTTCCATCATCCCAAATCAAGCTCATCATTGACAAAGGCCATGTAACTGGAACTTAATGAAGAAGACAAAATAAGAGAAGAAACAGATAATCTCTCAGACATTACATGATATAGTTAGAGGGAGTCATGAAACATATCTTGACATTTTATAGAAATGGTGGTCAGGGATTGGTTTTCCAGTCTCCTGTGACTTTAGCACCCCTCTTTAAATATCTTTTGCCTATCATAGTACAGAGAATTAGTGCCTGAACTACAAAATTCTTGGATCAAACTTGCGGTTGGGTCCCACAATGCAAAAAGATCAGATGATGATCTTTACTTTGTTTTTGTGGATAAAAGGGTTGCATAACAAATTAAGTCACAATCTAATCAGCCACACTGTATTGTCATTATACCCTTTTCTCTACTAAACTGACCTTTTTACGAATCATACATTGTTTCTAAGCTGTAATCCAAGCACCATTTCTTATGAAGAAGGCCCTAAGTAGTTTCAGATCAAGGTATTTGAAAAAATATATATCTTATGTATGACTTTCCTGCCTGTTATGTGAGGATTGGCAGCCCAGAGTCATTGTGAGTCCAGCAGCATACACTTTAATACATGAGGACGGTGATGATAGCAATAGCAATAGCACTTAGACTTATATACCACTTCATAGTGCTTCACAGCCCTCTCTAAGTGGTTTTACAGAGTCTGCATATTGCTCCCAACAATCTGGGTCCTCATTTTACCAACTTGGAAGAATGGAAGGCTGAGTCAACCTTGAGCGGTTGAGAATTGAACTCCGGGCAATGAGCAGTGAACTAGCCTGCAATACTGCATTCTAACCACTGTGCCACCACAAGTCTTGATGATATAGGACAGTGGTGGCAAACCTATGGCACGGGTGCCAGAGGCGGCACTCAGAGCCCTCTCTGTGGGCACGTGTGCCATCGCCCCAGTCCTAGGCCTTCAGCTGGGTTTTATAAAACCTTTTCGCTTTAGGCCTCTGCCACCATGTGCAAAAAGAAAAAAGCCCAATCAATCAGTCAATTTCAACTTCTCGCGGGAAAAAAAAAGATCTCGCAAAGTTGGAATTGATGGAACTTTTTAGTCCCACCAATTCTGCCGTTACCACTTCAGCCACGCCCACCCAATTGGCCACGCCTACCCAATGGGTCACATCCAGCCAATGGGCCCCACCCACCCGGCACTCGACGATGCATAAGTGAGTTTTGGGTTCCAGTTTGGGCACTCAGTCTCTAAAAGGTTCGCCATTACTGATGTAGGATGATGATGATGTATCTCACCATCTTTAAATATATATTGGATATACAAAGATTTCCCTCTTTTTTTAAAAAAAAATCACTGAGCTTTCAATATAACTAAATTTTCTCTGTTTTGGGGCTGTACCATATTATCCTGCGCCTTCATTTATTGCACTTATGTAACCTTGCTAACATGTTATGTTATTGTTATGTTTTCTGTACTGTACTCCCTTAGCTTTTGGAAAGGTTGCTTTGCATGCCCTTTTTAGAAACAAAACGAACTAGACAAGCAAACAGCTTTTTCTACTGAATGTAGTTATATCGATTTCTGTCTCTCTTCCAAAAATAACTGATACCTCTTCCTCAGAAAGTCCAAATTCCTTGGGGAAATCAAATGGTCGAGCTGATCCAGGCACTACAGCATCCAGGCAGCTTTCACCATGAACCACAATTCTGTTGGGAAGAAGAAATGGATTATAGCAGGATGGATCTTGTAACAGTTCGTTTGACCTGAGCTAGGATGCTGGATCCTGCTGGCGATCCAATGAAATAATAATTCTAAAAAGTCAGGATGTTATAAGCTCCTTTTTTTTATGATAAGGGAACCCTACTGCATTTGGGCCCTCCTGATGAGCAGTACCCTGCCCTTCAGAGCCAAAGTCCTGCACCCAAGCAGTCCTGATCCCACCTGTCATAGGCACAGTGGGTCTTCTCTCGCACGGTGGTGTCAGCTTGGTCTCCAATCAGCCAATGAAAGCCGGGTTTCTGGCGCAGGCGGATGTCTTTCCAACGTTTCTTGGCCACATATCCACAATCTGCATTGAAATCACCCAAGAAAATCATGTCCTGTATGGGAAGGAATAGAAATAACATCCGATCTTTCAAAATCATTAAATTACTAGTAGAATTAGCAAGTTAGCATTGACTCAGCTGCACCTATTATTGACAGATCTTCATCCAGCAATGTGGTGATGTTTTACAAGAATAATAAGTAGCATTTGATATCAGCAAGTGGCAACACCATGGCTGACCTTGAAAAGATAATTAGAGTAGGGCCTGGTTAGAACATGGATGGAAGACCACTAGGAAACCTCAAGATAATAGGCTAAACTGGTAAGGGGGAAAAACAGCTTCAAAAAGGCAATAACAAAACATTTTTATATTTTTTTTTTTTTATTAAAAGTTTTATAAATTTTACAAAAAAGAAAAAAGAATACAAAACGAGACAACATATACAAAAAAAATAAAACTAAACAATACATATATATATAAAAAAAAAAACCCCACCCCTCCCAAACCCCCCCTCCCTTCCCCCCCCCTGAGCTTCCCAGAGCAGAATATAGGCTTAAGAAGTAAAAATAAAAATTAAAGAACTTTATATTTATATATATAAAAAGATTATCTATAATATATATGAAAATAAAACTTATGAAAAAACTATATAATATTTTTGTGTACCCAATCTAAATTGTATAAATTTTATCCATTTATCCCAAACAGCAAGAAACTTCTCTTGCGTTTGTTGCTTTAAGAAAGCCGAAATCTTTGCCATTTCCGCCAGATAAGCTACTTTAAGAAACCATTCCTGCAATGTAGGCAAAGATTCCTTCTTCCAATATTGTCCTACTAACAGCCTAGCGGCTGTAATCAAATTTAACATCAAAACAACCTCCTTTGTATCACAATCTGTAACAATACCTAACAAAAATAATTGCGGAGTAAATTTTACCCTCCTTCTAAAAATTCTCTGGATATTCCACCATATTTTGATCCAAAATGCTTTTATCTCTCTGCATGACCACCAAATATGATAATAGGAAGCCTCCTTATAACCACATCTCCAACATTTGGGTTGCACGTCAGGGTACATATAAGACATTTTTTGTGGATCAAGGTGCCATCTATAAAACATTTTATAAAAATTCTCCCTTAAGTTCTGTGCTTGTGTAAATTTGACATTTCTCACCCAAATATTTTCCCAGGTGTCCAATGAGACTGGCTCACCAAAATTCTGCGCCCATCTTATCATACAATCTTTAATTAGTTCCGTTTCTGAATCCAATTCAACTAAAACCGCATAAATTCTCTTAATGTGGGTTTGTCTTGAATCCTTCACTTGCTTGATAAGATTTTCATCTTCTCTAAGAAAACCCACCTTACAATCCATCTTCCATCTGTCTAATAATTGCCTATATTGGAACCAAGAATAAATAAGGTTTTCTTGTGCTAACTCTTCCCGTGATTTTAATTGCCAGTTTTGTCCATCCCATTTAAGTAACTGTCTATAAGACACCATATCCATTTTAACCCCTCTTTTTATTGCTTCTATCGCATGCCAAGGTATAGCCCATAATGGTACTTTGAAATCACTTTTATAATATTTTCTCCAAATCCTAAGTAAAGAAATTCTTAAGATATGAGATTTAAAAGCCCAATCCATTTTTTTATTGAATATTAAATAGGCATGCCACCCATAAAGTAAATCCCATCCCTCTAGATAAAGTATCTCAGAATTTGTCAAATTTACCCAATCACTGATTAGTGTTAAAACCACCGCAGCATAATATAATTTCAAATTTGGTACCTTAAGTCCACCCCTCTCACGGAAGTCTTGCATAATTTTAAACTTAACCCTTGGCTTTTTCCCTGCCCAGATAAATTTATTAAGACCCTTCTGCCACTCATTTAAATTAATCTCATTTTTCAAAATTGGTAACATTTGAAACAGAAAAAGAAACTTGGGTAAAATATTCATTTTTATCACTGCAATTCTTCCCATGAGGGATAATTGCAACTTTTCCCAGTTCTTCAAGTCCTTCTGTACCCTGACCCACAACCTTTCATAATTATTTTTAAATAATTTTACGTTAGAAACAGACAACATCACCCCCAAATATTTTACCTTATTAACAATCTCAAAACCCGTCAGGTTAGTCAAAATCTGCTTCTCCTGACTAGACATATTTTTAGGTAAAATTTTGGTCTTATTTACATTAATCTTAAAACCCGAGACCAAGCCATAATGAAAAACATTTTTATATTGAGAGCTAGGTTGGTGTGACAGTTAAAAGGCTGGACTAGAATCAGAGAAATGGTGAGTTCTAGTCCTGCCTTCAGCATGGAAGCCAGCTGGGTGACTTTGGGCCAGTCTACCTCTCTCAGTCCAGCCCACCTACAGGGTTGTTGTGGTGAAAAAACAGGAGAAAGGAACATAATGTATGCTGCCTTGATTTTTAGAAATAAAAGTGAGATATAAATCATTAAATAGATGCCAAGAAATCTATTGTTCAACCAAAACTTTATTTTACTCTTGAACGTTCAAGGTGCTTTACCTTTGTTACCTTGTAATCCTTTTCAAGGACCATCAGGGCACATTGCAGAAGGATACCAGAAGCCGTGTTACGAGTTTGTTGTAAAGATGAGAGGAATGCATGAATAACAAAATGCTGTTTTAACCTGTTACTTATTAGAAGGGCAATTTATTTTCCTTCTTTGTTTTGATCATTTGTACTGACTTTTCATGAATGGCAGTGTATGACTACCATAAAGTAAGTGGGAAAAATGTTGAAGCTGACACAGAATTGGTAGAATTGGTAGAATTAGCTGCTTGTTTCAAACTTTACATAAATGGCAAACTCTAGCTAGTCACATAAGCTGACAGGAAGTGGTAGCAATATTAATGTGGCGTTGCTCGGAATTGCCCAGCAAATTTAAATTCAGCTGAAATATTGCTGGTGGGATACTAACTGGCTTTACATGTATCACAAATTTAATTCTACTTTTAATCTACTTTTGCTGATTTTAAAGATTTTCTTGGAGATTGAAACAAGAGTGGTTTGGAACCTGGTTATTTTCAAGACCTTCTTTTCCAGAGAAATGCTTTCTCTTATGTTTGAATCAACACCATTTGCTAGGCAGGGGGAATGGGATGGGAGGAGAGGGGCAGCCAGACTAATACCAACACATCATATCACCGCAGTAAAAGCCCTGCCCTTTCCTATGTGCATTGTGATGTTGTGTGCATGCCTCAAAGGAATGGAGATTGTGCTGTGATGGCATGCTGCTGCTTTCCTTGTGATGAAAGTAGCAGGATCCCATGGATGCTGCTGGTATGAATGAATATGTTAAGTCTTCTTTTATGGGAATACAGTATCCATATGCTGTATACAAAATCATATTAATATTGCAAATGTAGCTGGGGATGCCAACTGGCAGTGAAAAGGGACTGGGGGGAAGGAGGGAGAGCAGTGTAAATGCTCCAATGTTTGGGGCCCTTCTATAAATTCTCTGCCTCTTGCATCGATCATTGACATACCTCTGTGGCCCAGCGTTCCTGAACATTAAGGAAAACGTCATAGAGAGCATCAATTTCAGCTTCTGCCTTGGATGGCATTGTGTGCTGTGGGATCAGCACCAGCTCTGGAAGCTCTTAGGAGAAGCACAAATAGAAAAAGACAACTGTAAGGATCAGCCACTCAGCTCGGAAACCAAACTCAACATATTATTGTTATGAACCACTGAGGTACCTGGGTAGTCAGTACAGGATAAATCAAAAAAATAAAGAACAAATTCAACCACAACAGTGAGAACAAGCTAAACTTTGGAGCCTCTGATCTCCCCTGGTTATTTTGATTAGACTTGAAACAAACCTCTGAATACAGGTATCGTGGAAAACATTGAAACTCTTCTTAAAAAAACTCTGGCCACAGGTGCTGGAAAGCAAAGGGTCCCCACCCGCTGCTCTACATGACCCAATGAAATTCTTGGGAAAGGAAAGAAAGATGAGGCAGCAAGAAGAGCTAGCTCATCTTCTGGCATGCTAAGCCTCCTACTGAAATTATATTGTATTAAAAAAGGAAAAAGACATTGGAATTTGTTTATAAAAGGAAAATATGCTGGTGGCATACAATGCTAGCAGAGGTTCTTGTTCTCTGTTTCCATGATTGTTATTGTGTGGTGTGTTTTGATTTAAGGGTGAGGGAAATATCAGTATTTTCCAACGGTGGTCAGTTTTCCTTCTCCAAAATAAATAGGATAATTATGTTGTGCTTTGTGAAAGCATGTATACAAGCTAACAATACAGGCTTAGATCCAATTGTTACCTTGTACTCAGTATGCTTCTAGAGTAAATATCTTGTTTGTCACCTGAAATTTGTATTCTAATTAAATTGATATTTTGTTATTTTAGGGGAGGGAGGGAGGATGTCTCATTAAGCATTTGAAGTCCTGACTTACTCAACCAACTATCTTGTATTTCACTTTTAGAGCAGTCATTTCTCTACCATTTTATGAGAAGCCGTACTACTTACTCATTTTCTAAACTTGTCCCTGGATTCAACTATATTGGACAATAGAGATTTCTGGATCAGAGCATTCTGATGGTTATAAATCTCAAGAACAGCAGGAGTCTTTGAAGTGAGGCTTAAGAAAAAAAATGCCAGAAACTTCCCTCTGGATCATTCTCCTCCAGAGATCTGAATTATTCTTGCTGGAAATGAAACCCCATTTATAATCTGGGATCTCACCTTTGTTTGCCATGCTGAAACGGGCGATAAAGGGTTCACGAGCAAAGACATCAGGTCGGTCTGGATGCAGGTCTTCATATGTATAGTAATCCAGTATCTGAGCCTTCTGATTCCTACAGGAAGTGGAAAACACGAGAAAACAGGCTTGGTCCCAGGAAGGAGATGAAAGTTAGCATTAAAAGACCCAACAATAGATTTCTCTCCAAGCTGGATTTCTCTTCCCATCTCCAAAATAATTTTCTTCGGTAGTGTAATGGGGGAAGGATTTGGTTTCTTTTTGCCATACTTTTTGTGTTCCCATTGTGTTCCCATCTAGCTTTCCATTTCTCCACCTACCTTGGATGGACCACTGCATGTTTACAAGTAAAGAAGGGAATAAGATTGTATTGGCTCAATAGCTCTGCTGATGTTGTCATTTTTCTTTTTTTCACCCATATTTTAGATCTTATAAGAAGCAATCTTTTATGGCTATATGGTGTGCTCTGCTTAATGGATTATGCATTATAAAGGGAGAGTTGGTGAGGTTATAAATTATAAAGCCTAACTTGCTGACAAGCCTTGCACATTGTTCTGTCCTTTATTCTTTTACTAATAAAAGCAGATTATTTGAAGGCAAGGATTGGCCACATGGGGTCTATAAGCAGCCCTGTGCTGCAGACCTCTCTCGTGTGCTTAAGCTAGGCCCATGGATCCAAATTATTTTCATCTCCTGCAACTTAAATTGTGAGGTCTTGCTAGATGTGCAGTTTGTGGAATCTTACAGCTTCTTAATCTTGGTTTCCTCCAGGTTTAAGGGTACGGTGGACTCTTAATGTGTCTAAAGGATGATAATTGGGAAATAGCAGATGTAAATAGCAGACTCTGAAGGCATTTATTAATGTTTGGAAGTGAATCATGGTGGTGGAAGGATCTGCATACAAATCCCTTGTTTGCAGGTGACAGAGGATACAATGAAACATGGATGGATGGATGGATGGATGGATGGATGGATGGAAGGAAGGATGGATGTAGATCAGTGGTTCTCAACCTTTTTAATGCCGCGACCCCCAACCGGTCGTAAGTCGAGGACTACTCAACCGGTCGTAAGTCAAGGACTACTCAACTGGTGCAGCACCGTTTGCAGAATGGGACTTTTGGCAGGCTCAGCAGGGCAGAAACAGCCTGGACAATTCCTATTGGCTTTTGAAAGCCAATAGAATTAGACTCTATTCAAGAGAGTCTATTCTATTGGCTTTCAAAAGCCAATAGAATAAAAGGGAGTAGCACAGCTAAGGAAAAGGGGGAAAAAATGGCGGACTGCGTTGTTTGGCGACCCCTGTGAAATGGTCGTTCGACCCCAAATGGGGTCCCGACCCACAGGTTGAGAACCACTGATGTAGATAGATAGATAGATAGATAGATAGATAGATAGATAGATAGATAGATAGATAGATAGAATAGTTTGATAGATGGATGAGAAATGGATAGAGAAAAGATTGCGAGTTTGTATGTATAGTGGTATGAAAACAAATAAAATAAATGGATTCAGAATGCTTATATGTGAGCATACCATGTATGTGTTGGCCAAGCTCTTCTCAAAGGCCTGATCTGGTTCCCACAAAAATAGCTCTGCTTTAGGAATTCAGGATTAGAATGGATCTGACACAGATGGTAAAAAATATGGTGACATCATTATTATCCTAATGTTCAATAACACATGTACATCCAATCATAAATATTGCTACAGGTAGTTGGACTAAGTGAATATACCTGTATATGAATACATATCGTTCTTGATAATTTCCACGCCCCAGCAAAGGGCTGGTGAGGTAACTGTAGCTGTGTAGATCATCAAACCTGGGAAAAGAAAATCCCATAGGATTTAAGCATGCTTTATTTTCTGAACCAAGAGTACAGTACATGGCTATGGAAAGGTGGGAATCTTCTACCCTTAGATCAGTGGTTCTCAATCTTTCTAATGCCGTGACCCCATAATACAGTTCCCCATGTTGTGGTGACCCCCAAGTAGGTGTGGCCACCAATAAGAGGGAGTAGGACAGCTAGGGAAAAGGGAACAAAATGGTGGACAGCATGGTTTGGCGACCCCCATGAAATGGTCGTTCGACCCCAAATGGGGTCCCGATCCACAGGTTGAGAACCACTGCCTTAGATAATCTCCTGATCTTGCCAAACTAAAGCAACTATTTGAATACATCTACAATGATAAGTCTTGGAATTGTTAGGGAGAAGCTGTTTTAAATGAGTAGCTAAAAGAAGGACTAGGAGTGATATAATAGCAGTGTTCCAACATTTGAGGGGCTGCCACAAAGGAGAGGGGGTCAATCTATTCTCCAAAGCCCCTGAAGGCAGGACAAGAAGCAACGGATGGAAACTAATCAAGAAGAGAACCAACCTAGAAATAAGGAGAAATTTCCTGACAGAACAATTTATTAGCGGAATGGCTCGCCTCCAGAAGTTATGGGTGCTCCAGCACTGGAGTTTTTAAGAAGAAATTGGGCAATCATTTGTCTGAAATGGTATTGAGTTTTCTCCTAGAAGACCTCCAAGATCCCTTCCAACTCTGTTATTCTGTTAACTTTATTTCTCCTGACCAGGTTTTCCATGTTTTTCCCCCTGCAGTGCAGTCCCTCCCTCCTGACAATCCAGACTACATTACACCATAAGGAGAAAGGCAACTGCTACTTGTCTTTTTCAAATATCTGGACTGCCTTTCTTGCCTAAATGGGTCCTTTCTGCTTTCCTTTCCTGCATCTGATCGCTCCAAATTCTCAATCATCCCTGACATCAATTCCTGCCCATCTATTTATGTCCCTCTGCTCTTTTGGATCATGTTTCTTCTCCAGCCGTCAGACTCACTGGTGCAAGGCATTCATCAAAGCAGGCACTGCCTTTCCTTTTGCATCCATCACTTCTTGTAAGACTGAGATATCACAGCGAGCCAAGATCTGTAGACGTAAAAGAAGGGAATAGAGCAGAGTATTAGAATTAAACCCCTTTGGATCCCTTTGTATTTTTGGGGGGGAAAGCTGGCTGTGACTGAGTCAGTTCAATATGGCCCAGCTGATCTGATTGCAGCTTATCCTGAAAGTTGGAATCAGAGAAAGCAGTGAAATGAGTTCAGGTATCAGGCGTGAAGGATGGAGAGGAAGATTGCTGCCAGCTGCTCCCATTGCTTTTCTCTTAGCTTCAGTCAATTAGAAACAAGCCTAACTTAACAAAACATATTCTTGACAAGGAATTGTATATGGGTGGTGATGAGTAACAAGGGAATCAAGACTTTTGCATTGCTATGTACCCAATTCTTCTTCATTTGAAATGGACTTCTAGCATTGATACATGAGTATCCAGAGCTCTGGGGGAAGAGTGACATCATGCACATTATGGCACCATTGCACATGTGTTCCAAATTATGCACTGGGGTAATTCATGCCGTGAGGCCATGAGTCAGTCCCTTTGTACTGATCTCAAGTGCTGAACAAATATTTCAGGCTTTGCCAATAGCTTCATAAGGGCTAGAAGTTTAATTTAATTTTTAAAAAAGCAGAAGAAATTCATTTTCCATATTTTTCTTTTCAAGGGCTGCAAAGAGAAAGGGGAAGGAAATAGCCGGGGACTCCCTCTGGCCACCTACCTTGACAAGTATCTCCACGACTCTAGGTTTGTTCATCTTCCCTTGAGCAAAACGTTGAGCATTGAAGGCACATATCCGGAAGGCAGCTGCTCCTGAGCACAACAGCAGGAGCAGCACGGCAGGCAGAGAGCGTGGTGCATCCATCCTTAGGAATCCAACTCTATATGTGAAAGAATGAAAGAGAGCAAAAGGAAGGAAAGCAGATTGCTTGAAAAACTGGAAGGGATGGAGCTTCTGGTGGTCAGCGACGATGATGGCGGCTACTCCGTAGCCGTCCTCCTGGGACAGCGTTAGATCCGCGGAGCACAGCGGACATCAGCTGGCCCGCGGCTCGAAATCCCCTTCCCGGGCGAAGGGAAGGGGTAGAGACTACACGAATAGAGGTAGAACCTCTTAACGGATTTTTGGGGGGGGTAGAAAGAGTGCTCCCTCACAGTTCGTGCTTTCTCCGCCTCCCAGCTGTTTTTGTTTCTTCGGAAACAAAGTGAAACGCCGCTACCATCTCCACGCTTAAAGTGTTCTGGTGAGTGACTTCTAAAGCGGACAGAGCTGTCTAAAGGATTTTATTTGGAGTGTAGTGTTTTATTTCTCTTTTAGTTCATGTTGATTTCCTTCTTTTTTGTTTTTTACTGGTCTGGAGAGTGAAAGTAAGATGGCGTTTTGAAAGTGCTTTGCTTTTTTTTTCCGGAAAGAAAGAACGGACTTAAATGAAACGTATGGACTGCTTTTAAGCTCTTCTTTTCTTTTGAAAGCGTTTTGGAGGTTTTGAATTTCTTTTCTTGCACTCTCCCTGGTTTTTTCTTCTAAACCTTAAGGATTTTAGTATTTTCTTTTTCTTTTTTTTAAGAAGAAAGAAGGAGAGAATAAGATTTTGAAAAATGGCTTCAAAGAGGCAACCAGCCTCTATAGTTTCTAAGGTGGTCTCCTCTCCTGCAATTCTAACAGTACAACAACAACTCAAAGCTACACCACCAGTACTGCAACCTAAAGTCACACCTCCACCTTCTCCTCCTTTGCCAGGCTTATCTGCACAAGACATTAAAGATATAATGGGTAATGCTGTATCCCAAATCAGAGAGGAAATGAAGCAACTTCTTGAACAGAATAAGTCTGAAAGTAAAGAGGAAATGAAAGACCTTCTTAAACAGAATAAATCTGAAAGTAAAGAGGAAATGAAGGAGCTTTTAGAGGAGAATAATACTATCTTGAGGCAAGACATAGTAACAGCTTTATCAGGCCTGGCTTCTGTGGTCGAGAAGCTGGATTCCAGAGTGGAAGAGGTTGCAGATAAAGTAGACCTCCTTGAAGATAAATTCCAAGATATGGAAAAAAAGATGGAAACCTCACAAGAGGATATTCTTATGTCTCAGTATAGGGAAATGGAGTATGCTTTGAGAATTAGGGGTCTGAAAGAAGATATGAATCAAGATTTGACAGAGATGGTGCTTAATGATCTAGCTGTTGTTCTGAATAGGGACAAAGATGGACTACGTAGAGAAGTGGAAAAAATTTACAGAGTTAATTCCTGGATTGCGAAACAAAAGAATCTGCCAAGAGATGTGGTGATCTACTTTGCAAAGAGATCTCTGCGTAATGAAATCATACAAGCTTTTTATAATAAGAGATTCCAGATTGCTGCCCAAGATGTTATTATTCTAAAGGAAATCCCATCCAAAGTTTTAAGAAATAGAAAAGACTTTGCCTTTCTAGCTAATGAACTTAAAACAAGACTGGTGCCATTCAGATGGGAGATTCCGATGGGTATTGTTTTGAGCCATGCGGGGACACGTTACAGATTAACACGGTTGTTAAAGCTAAAGAGTTTTATAATACGGTCCTGGGAGCAGGCTCATCTTCATCTATGATTCAGAAAGCTCTGGGCGGCAAAGAGGTGGAACAACAGTCTGAAGGATTAGGTCTGATGGCTGCTGGAAAATTACAGGTGGAATGGTCGCGCCAAGCAGAGGTCAAAGAGCAGAGAATGACTCGTGCAGCGCATAGACGTAAGGAAAAGGAACAACAGAAGAAAGAAGTTAAAGAATCTTCTCATGAAAGTGTCTCGTTGCCGGTGGGAGGAGCAAGACCCAAGAGCTCTGCAACACATTCTTCAATGGCAGATCTTCAGGCAGTCTTCTCCAGGCTCCTGGTTAAGGGAGATGGCAAAGTTCCTGACCTGGAATGTTAACGGCCTTAACTCCCCTCAGAAAAGAAAGAAAATTTTTTATTACCTAAAGCAACATAATAATGATATTATTTGTTTGCAGGAAACTCATATTCTACTCAAAGATCAAAAATATTTAGCCAATGCTCGTCTGGGATCTCATTTTGTATCTCCTGCCCCTGGGAAAAAAGGGGGTGTGGTTATTTACGTTAAGCAAAGTCTACCAGTTTGTCTGGTAGAATCAGATCCTCAAGGAAGATATGTTATGATTGAACTTGGTTTATATGGTAAGAAAATACTTATAGTGGGACTGTACGCACCAAACCAGCAACAGGAACAATTTTATAGATTGTTACATCAGAAAATAACTTCACTGGACTATAGATCTGTGATATTAATGGGAGATTGGAATGGTGTCTTAGATACACAAAGGGACAAAAAAGGTTCTTCTACCTTTTTTAAACAGGCCAAATTACCTAAAGCCTTTTTTGATCTGAAAGAGGATTGGGAGCTGAGGGATTATTGGCGTGAACGTAATCAAGAGGAGAGAGACTTTACCTTTTTCTCAGATAGACATCAATCTTTTTCAAGAATTGACTTTTTCTTGATTACAACTGACTTATATAATAGGGTAAAGAATGTAAAAATCTTTCCTAGGTCATTGACGGATCATAGTCCAGTTTGGATGGAAATGGCTGATGAAAAAGAGGAGAGGAGATCCTGGAGGGTGAATGAGAACTTATTTAGACAAGAAAGGAATGTTCAAAAATTAAAGGAGTGCTTAAAGGATTATTTTGCTTTAAATATGCATAAGGGAACATCAGTATCAATGGTATGGGACGCAGGTAAAGCTTTCATGCGTGGGATTCTGATAAAAATGAATAATGTCCATAGACAAAAGCAGATTCAGAAACGTAAGGAACTGGAAGATGAGATTAAATTAAAAGAAAAGTCTTTGATTCTAAATCCTTTAGATGAAAAGGTTAAAGAATCTATAAAGTTGCTAAAAACACAATTTAATATGTTGATGGCTGATCAAACCGCAACTAACTTATTGTTTATGAAACAAAATACATTTTGTAATGCTAATAAACCAGGGAGATGGTTGGCCTATCAATTAAGAAAGAAACAGAGACAGAGAATTATAGATAAAATAAATTATAATGGTAAATTAGTTTATCAGAAGAAGTTGATTAAGAACAAGAAATTAATGGTTTAATTACCAATGAGGAAATTGTGACAGTTATTAAGCAATTAAAATTAGGTAAAGCGCCGGGTACGGATGGTTTGACATCCATTTATTATAAAACTTTAGTAGAAGAGATGATTCAGCCTTTATGTGAGCTTTTTAATAATATATTACAGGGCTCAGAGATTCCTCCATCATGGCGCAGTGCTTTTATATCCTTGATTCCAAAAGAGGATCAAGATCTTACTTTACCAAAGAATTATAGGCCTATATCTCTCTTAAATGTAGATTATAAGATCTTTGCAAAAATTTTAGCTAATAGGCTTATGAGGGTTATGCATCAGCTTATACATAAGGATCAATCGGATTTTATAACTGGTAGGTATATGAAAAATAATGTTAGACAAATTATTAATTTATTAGAATATTTAGATAAGAATAACCAAATCTCTGCAGGGCTGATATTTTTAGATGCTGAAAAAGCTTTTGATCAATTGAATTGGCAGTTTATGTTAAGAGTAGTTGAGGAGATGAATTTTGGAGAAAAAATATTACAAGCTTTTGGTGCTATATATCAAAAACAAACGGCACAACTTATTGTTAATGGGGGTTTGTCAGAGGTTTTTACAATAGAAAAAGGTACAAGACAGGGATGTCCATTGTCACCGTTACTGTTTGTTTTAACATTGGAAATTTTGTTGATTAAAATTTGAGAGTCGCAGGAAATAAAAGGAATAGAAGTTAACAAAAAAGAATATAAGTTAAGAGCTTTTGCAGATGACTTGGTGGTTACTTTGTCTCAACCTACCTATTCTGTAGTAAAGTTACTACAACTGATTTACCAATATGGACGGGTTTCGGGTTTTAAAATTAATAATAATAAGACTAAAATATTATCTAAAAACATGACTAATCGGGATAAGCAGATTTTGGTTAATTTGACTGATTTTGAAGTTGTTGATAAGATAAAATATTTGGGGGTTAATTTATCTGTTTCTAATGTAAAATTGTATAAGAATAATTATGAAAGGCTGTGGGTCAGGGTACAGAAAGACTTGAAGAATTGGGAGAAGTTACAGTTATCTCTTATGGGAAGAATTGCAGTGATTAAAATGAATGTTTTACCAAAATTTCTCTTTCTGTTTCAAATGCTACCTATTTTAAAGAATGAGGTTAATTTAAATGAATGGCAGAAAGGCATTAATAAATTTATTTGGGCAGGGAAAAAACCAAGGGTAAAGCTTAAAATTATGCAAGATTTCCGTGAGAGAGGTGGACTCAAGGTACCGAATTTGAAATTATATTATGATGCTGTGGTTTTAACATTAATTAGTGATTGGGTAAATTTAACAAATGTAGAAATACTCCATCTGGAGGGTTGGGATTTACTTTTTGGATGGCATGCCTATTTAATTTTTAATAAAAAAGTGGATCGGGTTTTTAAATCTCATATTATAAGGATTTCTCTACTTCGGGTTTGGAGGAAATATTATAAAAGTGATTTTAAAATACCATTATGGGCTATACCTTGGCATGCGATAGAGGGGATAAGGAGAGGAGTTAAAATGGATAGGGTTTCTTATACACAACTACTTAGATGGGATGGCCAAAATTGGCAGTTAAAATCTTTGGAAGATTTATTACATGAAAATATTACCTATTCATGGTTTCAATATAGACAAATAGTGGATAGATGGAAGATGGATCATAATATGGGCTTGCTTAGAGAAGATGAAAATCTTTTTAAACAAGTAAAGGATCAAAGACGAACTCACATTAAGAGAATTTATGGGGTTCTAGTGGAACTGGATTCAGAATCAGAACTAATCAAAGACTGTATGATTAAATGAGCACAAAATTTTGGTGAACCAGTTCTACTGGATACCTGAGAAACTATCTGGGTGAGGAATGTCAAATTTACACAAGCCCAGAACTTAAGGGAGAATTTTTATAAAATGTTTTATAGATGGCACCTTGATCCACAAAAAATGTCTCTTATGTATCCTGACTTACAGCCTAAATGTTGGAGATGTGGTTGCCTGGACGCCACTTATTATCATATTTGGTGGTCGTGTAAAAATATAAAAGCTTTTTGGATTAAGATATGGTGGAATATCCAAAGAATTTTTAGAAAGAGGGTAAAATTTACTCCACAACTGTTTTTGTTAGGTATTATTACTGATTGTGATGCTAAGGAGGTTATATTGATGTTGAATTTGATTACAGCCGCAAGGCTGTTAGTAGGGCAATATTGGAAGAAGGAATCTTTGCCTACCTTGCAAGAGTGGCTTTTTAAAGTTTCCTATCTGGCGGAAATGGCAAAGATTTCGGCTTTCTTAAAGGAGCAATCGCAAGAGAAATTTTTTGCCGTATGGGAAAAATGGATAAATTTCACACAATACAAATTGGATATAAAAAAATACCATTTAGCCTTTTTATAACCTGTATATAAACTTTGATATTTTATAGATTGTACTTTTTCTCTTTTTTCTTTTTTTTTATCTCTTTTCTTCTTTCTTTTTTCTTCTTTTTTAGGCACTTTTTCTTTTTAATGTTTATGGTTTTTTTTGTTATATATATCTTATTGTTAATTATTTTATAAGTTGTTTAACTTTTTTTTAGGATTTTTAAAATTTCAATTAAGCCTATATTCAGCTCTGGGAAGCTCTGGGGGATGGAGGGGGTGGTTTGGGAGGGGTTGGGTGAGGGTTGTTTTGTTTTTTTTGTTGTTGTCTTTTTTGTTTTTTGTAAAAACTTTTAAAAATTTTCAATTCAAAAAAAAACTGGAAGGGATAAGAGGAAGGGGAGATTTATATTTTGCAACAAACCCAGGTTAAAAATGGAAAGGAGGGCAACAAAGCAGATACCAATCCAGATACTGAAAGTCCAGGTATGTCAATGCTTCCTGGGCCAATATAGATTTGGGGCTTGGCCTGGGTCTAAGTGACAGCCAGGGTGGTGTAGTGCTTAAAGGCACTGAAGAATTCAGGATTGTGAATTAGGTCCAGATGGCAGTGGAGTAATTTGGGGCCAGTCCCTCTCTCTCAGCCCTAGGAAGAAGATAAGGGTAAACAAACCACTTCTAAAAGTGCTGCCAGCAAACTGTATAGACTTGTCCATTTAGTCTCCAGCAGTTAAGACCGACTCAAAGGCACACATGCACAAAAGAATGTGAGGATTGTTATCAAGGCCATGACAGATGTTGTATCCCTTCTATATTATTATAGCCTTAATCTTGGCAGAATTTCCATCTAGTTAATTGTAATTAAGCCTTGGATTTATAACTCCTTTTATCGTTATGCTCCTGGGGCTCATTCTCAGACTACATTTTTGCACCTTTGCGAACAGCCAATGGAAGAATGGGAGAATTGAGAGTAGCCTTCGGTAAGGTGGGCAGCTATGTAAGTTTGATTAATTATAAATAAAATAAGTTAATAAATAATCCAAAAGTCCTTCCTTCCCGTTCCATTTCATGGCATTTTAGAAAAAAAAAAAAAAAAAGCAGAATCAGTACTGAAAGAAACCGTAGTAGGGAAGGCAAGCCCCAATGATGCGCTATCCAAAGTTGCCCGGCCGTCTGCCCTGCGCGGACACGCAATTGAAGCAAATCATTTTGGCACGCGCCGATTCTAATTAGTGCTTGAAAACCACCATCCGAACTTGGAAATGGGGCTGGTATATGGTTTGACAGCAGCAGCTCTTGCTGTAAAAGAGGAAGTGGCATCGGGCTGTTATTTAACCGGCTTGGGAGGGGACCGGGATGGATCTTGCAAAGGTTCCAGAGGGGATCCAGAGGTATCTTGGACACCCGCATTTCCACACTTAAGAGCCAGCTGGATCACTGGGGGTGAACCTCGTCTGCCATGACACAAACACCACAACTAGGAAGGGCGCCGGACGTTGCTCCTGCTACGAGTCCTCTCTTCCTTCTTTCCTCCCTTCCTTCTTTCTCCGCCACTTTGGGCGATCGGACCGTGCTTCACGCACCGGGCCTTGGCTCCCTTCCCTCGATTACCAAGCGCCTTACCTGCCACATTGAGTTTGGTGACCGCCGGCGCCAAGTCAGTCCCACTTCTCGCCGCCGTCCCATCCAGGGCTTCAGCAGACGAGGCGGGGGCTCGACGAATCCTCGAATCCGGTAGCCCACCCCAGAGAGGGAGGGCGCTCGCAGACTGACTCATCCCAGCGGCTTCCGCGTCCTTTGGGAGGCCTTCTCATCTGTGCTCGCGCCCAATGCCTTCCTAGGTCCGCTTTCTCTTCTGTACGTCTACGGAGGCTCTCAGCCACCCAGGTCATGGTTGGTCCAAAGGTGCTTTTTCAGCAGCTTTGGGACAACTTCCAATTGGCCTCAACGACTCTTGAAAAGAATGCAAATGACCAGCTCTCTGCAAGGTATATAAATCCTTCCGTTCTCCACCATCCAGTCAGAGTTGAAGAAGCTTTTCGGAGGAGAAGTGAAATGTCTTCAAAAAAAAAACAAAAACAAGACAGTCCAGTTGCCTCCTGAAAAAGCACCTTTGGGGTTTCTCTTCTGTACTTCCCCAGTTTTCCGTGACCTGCAAAGATGCAAGTTGGTATCAAAAAGGGAGAGGGTATTGTTTATTTAATGGTGCATTAGCGGAATCTGGCCAAAGATACTTTTTTTCTTGCCACAGTTTTTGTCTTTTCTAGCTTCTCCAAGCTGCCTCCTTAGCACTTTCTAGTTCAAACAGAACAATGGCACTTCCCCAGGACCTTTGTGTTGTTTCCTCCTGCACCCCTGTGCTCCTAGCTAGCCTGCAAAGTACTTACACCCTTACAGAAAGGTATGCCAGGAGCCAAAAGGCATTGTCTTAGCAAGGTTGAGAATCTCTGGGCCTTGCTGAACTAGTTGGAGAGAGGTCCACTGCTTGTTGGTTATGGGCCTCAACAAACCATCCACTTGAGGAGAATGGCAATGGGTGTTGTCCCAGGTTCAGCCACAGCTGCCAAGGACCAGCAGGTCTACCCTATCCACACCAACTGGTGGAAGGATCTCCTTTTGTGGGAATGGGGAGATGGGAAGTGGCTAGAAAACTTCAGCATGACAAAGAAGACACTCTTTGACATTGCTGATCAGTTGATCATTTTGCGTAAGCCAATCCCTTTGAAGAAGCAAGTAGTCATTCCTGTGTGGTGGCTGGCAACCATGGCTTCCTACTGGGAGATTGTCCAACACTTTGATGTTTGGGAAATCAACAGTGGGCACTTTTTTTCTTGAGGTGTGCTTTTCAATAGAGCATGTCCTTCTAAAGGATATCATTTGCTTGGGTGAATACCAGAAGCTATGTTTCCAATGCACCCAGTGAATGATCAGAGGTTGACAGAGGTTGATTGGTTGGCCAGAGGGGGGAGGAGTGTCCTTCTTCTGCAAGTGTCCTTGAAGCAAAACTGAACCTAAAATATTCTTGCATGCTTTAAGATGCCAGTGCGGCAGCTATCAGTCCCTTCCCATTTTTGATATTGTATTTATTCAGTGTCCTAAAGTTCCATCTCCCAAATATTTCAAATAATCACTGAGCGCATCTTTGCTAATTTCCCCCAACCCCCCACTACTTCAGCTGGTCTCTTTTCTTTCCTAGATCATGGATGGCTTTGGATAGATGGGCTTTCCACATTGTAGGAGCAATGGATGATTGCTGCATACCAGTTTGTGCCACTGCTGGACAGGGATATGAGTATACAAACTACAAGGAAGTGTTCTTCCTTCAAGGGATCATGGATCCTTCTGATTGCTTCACAAACATCGAAGTGAGCTGGAGTGATAAGAACCATGAGGACTTCACCTCTAATACATCCTCCCTTTGTGTGAGGCAATGGATTCAAGTGTTTTTGCGTCATCTAATCCAACAATTATGCTTGGTAGGGTGCTTATTATCCCATTTGTTTTGAGAGATGAAGCTTCAAAGGACCATGGATCCCTCTGATTGCTTCACAAACATCGAAGTGAGCTGGAGTCATAAGAACCACGAAGACTTCACCTTTAGTACATCCTCCCTCTATGTGTGTCATTTAATTCAACTATTATGCTTGGTGAGGTGCTTATTCTATTTTGAGAGATGAAGCTTACCCAGTTCGTGCCTGGTTTATGAAACTTTCTGAAGGTCATCTGGACTGGAGAAACCTAAATTACAATTGCATCTTCAATCACTGTGTGGTTGTGGACATGCAATTGCAAGGTTGAAGGCCCACAGGTAGTGCTAAACAGCACGGTTGCCAGTTGCAGAGGAAAATGTAACTTCTGTGTTTAGAGCCTGTGCCATTTTGCACAATATTTATGAAACACAAGGGCATGTACCCAGCTGCAACCTTCTGACATGGGAATACCTTGTAATGCTGCATCAAAAAATTGTTGAACCAAAGGATGATCAAAACTTACTGGAAGAAAGGCATGTCTGGGATGCAATTGCTGATTTCCTGCTTGAGGTTCATTGACACAGCATTTCAGTTTACTGATGCTTGCTGATTTTTTATGTGTTGGTTCTCTTGCTTGTCTGTGATCACCCAGGCAGCTAACAAAATATCTGTTTCAGCGGATCAACTCCTATTCTTTCACTTCTTTGTGTTAGGACTAAGTTGTTGGAGGAGAAGAGCAGATTTCAGCAGAAGGATCTGGTTCATTTTATTGAACAGTTTCCATATGGGCCCAACAACCAAGAGCAGACCATGCTGAAAACAGGCCAGATAGGCAGAACTGCCTTTCTGCACACAGTGTGGATGTTGGTGGGGGAGAAAAACTGATTAGGTATAGTGGGAAATGGAAGACATAGGAAGAAAAATGTTGCTTGTGAGGGAACCTTTCTTCTTTGGCAAGGTGAAAGAAACTCTAAGCTGCTGCAAAAGAGCCTTAATGGAAAAGGAGGCAGCATGAGTGTCTGTTGCTAAAATCTTAACCATGAAGATGGCAAAATAACGAAGCCTACATTATGATGTCACAAAGAGACTGACCTCTTTGCTCTTCTATTACAGCTCATGTTTCTTGACTTCCTCTCTCTTGCCCTCCAAAAGATACCTACTGTAGGAGGACTGACTAAAATTAATATCATCTCAGCATGTATTAGAGAGCCAGTTTGGCCTAATGGCTAAGACATCAGGCTAGAAATTTGGGGACCATGAGATCTAGTCTTTTTTTTTTTTTTAATATGGAACGCTTCACGAATTTGCGTGTCATCCTTGCGCAGGGGCCATGCTAATCTTCTCTGTATCGTTCCAACTTTAATATATGTGCTGCCAAAGCGAGCAATCTTAATTCCAACTTTTGATTCATCTAGCCCTGCCTTCAGTCCAGCATAGACATACACAAGTTAAGCAGCATGGTCTCGAGCTGTTTGGAGGTTTGAAGACTAGAACTTTTAATTGAGGCCCAAAAAAGACTACAAAATACTCACTGATAAAGCACAGGTAAAACAGAATCAAGTCTTTCTCCCCACTAATTATGCAATTTAATGCTGATCAAATGCAATTTCCAACTTGTTCCAACTGAATAGTAGCAGTCGTCTCTAAAAGTTGTAACTGAAATCTTACTGAGTTTCAGTAAATCTAACTCAGTGGGTCTCCTTGGGCAGAAAAAACAAGGTGAAGACAGGCATATGCAGATGTTACATGTTACAAAACTAATGTAAAATGTGCCTTGTCTTTTGAACTTGAACCCACAAAAAATGTTACCAGTTGACCAGTCTTCCCCAGCCTGATATCCCTCAAAGGTACTAAGTGAGGATTCTGTCCTTTTGGCCATGTTGTCTAAAAGTTTTGGGAATTCAAGCATCGTTAGGTCTATGGAGCCAGGAAAAACAGTTTTAGTTGCAATTGGACTTAATTCTGCCATCATTAATGTATTCTTGTCATACCATGTATGCATGTCATAAAGCATAAATTTCCCAGGAAGTCTGTAACCGAGTTCAGCAACACACATTTAAAGCATTGCTCCAGGCTCTCTCATTTTAATGTGTTCAATTGACAGGTGGAGAGCTCACATCTTGATAAGTGATATTAAATTAATATAGATATTAAACATGATATATGTAATTGTATCTAACAACGATGTAAATGTAGCACATCCAATAACAATGTCATCCTGAAGTATAGAGCAGGCCTTTGTCTGTATTTGCAATACCCCTAAACTTCTTTCCAAGTAAAATCCACCTTGTAGTAATTTTTCATAATTTAATTAAAACACATAATTTAAAAATACCCAAACAAACTCACAACTGTTCCTAGAGTTGAAAAGCAATTTTCCCTCCTGCCCTCAAACTGTTGTTTGACTGGGGAGGCAGAGGTTGCTATGTTATTTTGTTTGATTGCAGAATATAATGCTTGGTGTCAAGTATAAATATCTCTGAAAAAATAAAAAATACCTTAGGTACAATAAAATTGCATTTTTAAGTAATATGGGCAGTAAATGATGCATTTAGTTTTTATATAGTACTTTACACCTGAGAACACTATAAATACTTTACCATTTTATCTTAATGGCATGGACTCAACACTGCGTGCTGAACCAGCTTATTTGATTAAAAGAGGACAGATATATTCTTTTTGAAAGCAAATTATGTGGGAGGGAGGAGTGTTCAAGAGTTTAGCTTATCTTTCATAATCATCTCAAAATCATCATCTTGAAGAGCTGCCTCAGGATCTCTGTTACTACAGAATAACTTCTTTATGGATTAGTTTTGCAATAGGCTGTTAAATTGTATAAAAACTTTTGCAATGGCGTGCTGTCTTTTCAGTTGTTCAAGATTGTGTGATAAGACTGTTCCAGAACTGTATCCAGTGTTTCTCAAGGTAGATCTAGCTATTGCCATCCCCTGGTCATCAAAACCATAGAAATTAGCAATATTTTACCCCTCACTGCTTGGCTGGTGAGCAGTGGTGGCATATTGTCACTACAGAAAGCTATCCTATATTTAAGAAACTATCCCATATTTAAAAGAACTTGTGATTTTGAAGCTCATGAGCTTGAGGAATGACTGCAGCTCAGAAATTGTATTTGATGGCTTAATATTTTATTCCATTCAGTTAAGTCAAAAATTACATGTATTTTCAACATTCTCTTTTCAACTCACCTGAGGGGGGGGGGGAAAAGAGTATTTTGTAATCTCTGACTGGAGTCATCCATTTAATACAAATACTATGGTTAGAATAGCATCACAGAAGGACTCCATAGTCTCCTTTCCTGGAAGATGTCAATTGCTCTAGTCAGGAGAATATCACCTCCATTCTACCACTTAGAAATTGCAATAAATGAATAATGAAAAGTTGTCATCATAATAATTTTAACAGTACCATCTTCTGCAGAGGCAAATTTGGGGATTCATTTTCTAACGGTGAAACTGACAAGCTCTGAATCTTTTAATCAGTAACACTTTCTAAAGCTTGCTGTGTTTTTGTCTCTGTCTATGAAGAACTCTGTGACCAAAACGGGAAATAGTGATCACTAATAAAGTTGAGCACATGGAAAAGCAAGTGACACATGGTGTCAATAAAAAGGCACAGGAGAAGTCAGGTGTACCACTTGATAGACACAAGTGCTTGTCCACACTTGAGAATTTCATTTACTTCTCAGAGCTAGTTAATCTTTAGGAGTGAGAACTGCCAAAAGGCTTACTGAAAATTGTTTGTGTCCATGACAACATGGACCTCAGGCAACAGAGAAACAAGCTCATCATAGGGACTTGGCTCAGAAAGTTTGAGATAGCAGATTTTCCTCCGATCAAATTGGTCCAGTGACATGCAGCTTTCAGGGAACTTTGTCCTTGATGTGTCCACATATCTGCAAGTGTGCAACCATAAGAAGCAGAGATCAATCTCCTTTTCAGTCTGTATCATTTTGCTAACTTAAGAATTTGCTACAAATAAAAGCAGCGATAGAAACTTTATTATGACTATGGAATCTGCTTCCTTACTGACGTCAAAACAAAGAGTTAATTAGTCCAGATTTATTTGGATATTGATCTGTTGCAGAGCTGCAGCTGTGAAAAAGGCTCTTGTGAGCCTCATAGTATTTTGGAACTTCCCATTCATTTGTATCATGTCCCCTGGCCGTTTGCAATATTTTCCTTCTTATGCAGCATTGTCATATGTTTTTCCCCATGGATTTTCTGCCATAGGAGAAATATTTCAACTAGCACTATATTCCTATATCTTCCTACTAATACAGAGGTCTTAAAAAGCTAATGCAGTATGCAGAGATCCTACCGGTATTAATTCTGTGTAGCCTATAATAATAAAAAAATCTGTATAAAATCTTAATTTAAAAAAAGGTTCTAGGCCACATGACTACACTGTAAAATATGAAAGCATGCTGACAAAATTGCTAATGACCAGGAAAAAAACATAAAAATGAAATTTTATTTTAGCAATATTGGCTGTACCTAATCCTGGTCTTCTGCTTGAATTAGAAGTTAATTTACAGTATATTATTTTAAGTAGAATTGGATGCTAAAAATACATTAAACTCTCTCCACATATTACTTCTCCAAAACAGTCATGATTGTTGAGTATGTTCATAGTGCTTTTGAATAGACCCTGTACAGTATCTTTGGATGGATTCCCTGCCCAGCTCAAATGAACTGAAATCAAATTATGTTGGCAAGTTTATGGATACTTGGCAAATATAGTTAGTGAAAAATATGGACATTTTCTCAAAGAGGCAGTAAGGTGAACAAATTCGCTCATACATGTGGTGCAAAACAACTTCCATTAATTATATTTAAAGAGATTGCTAAGGTATAGCAATTCCTCATTCTCAACTTGCAAATTAGGTGATCCATAGCAATATATATATATATATATCACGAAAGATTGAATTTAAACGAACATAAAAACCCTGTTATATTTAATGTTGGGGTTTCACTGATGCAAGAGGGCAACTACACAGAGTAGACCCATGGCGAGATAGGTCGCAAATAAATTTAACAAACAGTGGGTACAATCAATAGCATTTGAATCGGCTCTTAAAGGCCGAAAATTTTTGAACAGCTTTAACCCTGATAAAGCTACTCGTGTTCTTTGCAGAAAGGTGGAGTTGCCCTATCTGTACAAGTGTCAATTGTTGGCACATGACAAGAGGGGCTGGAACGGTTGGGGTGGACAGAGGCCTTATGCGAATCTCGGTGCTGCGTGAGATTTTTCCGTGAAGCCTTCTTCTTTGCCTGCATAAGTTGGGGAAATTGGGATGGGACCCGGATCGCCCCCCCCCCCCCGCTTTGAGCCCTGCATAAACTGCGTCTTTAAGAAGCTTCCCTCATTTTCAGCAACGCGGAGAAATACGCACTCTCAACAGCAGACTGCATTCTGATTTTCATAAAGTCCCGCAATCAAAATGACAAAAAAAAAAAAAAACCAAAACCCCGCAGCTGTTTACAGATAAGACTGACCTCACCTCGTGGGAACGGAGATGCGGACTGACAAGGCTACTGGGAAATGTAGTTCATTTAGTACATTACGTGCTTACTTCTCGCGACAGTTTGCTTTTCGGCTCATCGCCCTAGATCAGTGTTTCTCAAACTCGGCAGGTTTGAGACGTATGGCTAGTTGGGGAATTCTGGACCTATACGTCTTAAAGTTGCCAATTTGGGGAAATACTGCCTTAGGTTCTCACAACCAGTGGCCAATTGCATGCATATATTGAGTCTTTTACATATTTACTGAAAGGCAAGCCCATTGAATTCATTCGACTTCCTTCCCAATGTGTAGAGCTTGTAATGAATACACTAAAGAGTGTAGCTGTATCACAATTACCCAAAGGCAATCCATTGATTTCACTCGACGTCCTTCCAGATAAGTGTATATAATATTGAAGCTTGAAATAACATAGACACATATTAAATTGGATGCAATATTGGATGACCCGAAAGACCAGTTTAAGGACAGATCATCCTGGAGAAAAATCTATGTGATTGCTAGGAGCCGAAAGCGACTTGATGTCACATAGTCAAATGCTCAAATCAGAAAAGGGGAAAAAATTAAATAGCTGGGTGAGAATTACCTAGATCTTTTTATTTATTAAATGTATTTATTTGTATCCCGTCTTTATTATTTTTACAAATAAGAGCCCCGTTCTTCATGCATTTATTCAAAATGTTGGATTCCCCAGCTCTTCAATCATAAAACTAAATCCTTTATCGCCCCTCTTCCTCTAAAAATTGATCTGCCGATTTCTAAGTCACAGCTCCCAAGACAGTCCTTGGGGCTCTTACCATAGAGACGGAGGAAAGCTAGAGCGAAACCCTTCTCTGCTCGCCTAGAGCGGGGGTAGGCAACCTTGGCTCTTTTATGACTCGTGGACTTCAACTCCCAGAATTCCTGAGCCAGCCATGCTGAGGGGAAAAGGAGAGGTTTCCAAGCTGAGCCATGGTGGCTCAGGAATTCTGGGAGTTGAAGTCCACGAGTCATAAAAGAGCCAAGGTTGCCTACCCCTGGCCTAGAGAGAACCATTAAGCGAGGACCTTTTTTTTTTTTTTTTTTAACCATTACATATTGGACCGGAAACTCAGACTTTCTACTCCACTCTCCTTTTCTCTATCTCCACGAGCAGCTTCGAAAGTGCGTCACTTAGGAAAGCCTTTTCCAGTAGCCCAGGATCGGGATCCTGCAGAAATGTTTGATGGGGTTCCCTCCTTGGAAGTCCTATATTGGAAAGATAGCGACTTGTGAAAAGAGATTGCAAAGCTGGGAAGCGCTGAGGCTGCGCGTGTTTCTTTCGCCGCAAGAGAAAGAAGAGAACAGGAGGAGCATTTACTCACATCGGGGAAGTGGAGGTGAGTGAATGGGATTTAACGGGGGATCCAGGCGGGGTCCGGAGGAAGGAAAGAACAAACCACCCGATTAGAAGGCGTGTGCAGTAATCTGGGAATGATCTTTTGGACAGAGGTGTTTTCAATGGGAGGGGGGCTTGCATTGTATTTCTGTTTTTATAACGCTTACATAGCGGGTGGAAGTTCAATGGGAGAGATGGACTCTTGAATTTGTGGCAGGCAGCTAATGAATCGACGGAAGGTTTCATAGATACAAGGTGGCAATCACCAGGGTTTGTAGAGTGGGAGAAGCAGTTGGAATATATGTGAAGAAATCGAATGTTCTTTGTGGTTCAGTGTGGTTCGTTGACTTTGCAAAGTGATGACAAGGGAGGACTAGGCTCAAGAAACAGGTGGATAAGACAGATATATATATGTAGGTCTTTGGTTGTTCGGGTTTTCTCCCGCGTAAAATTGGAAGTGTCTTGGCCAAGACACTTCCAATTTTACGCGGGAGAAAACCCGAACAACCAAAGACCTACATACAAATACTCGCGAAAACCTCAGAAAACATATATATATATATATATATATATATTATATATATATATATATATATATATATATATATATATATATATATATATATATATATATATATATATAGTCCCTAATTATACTAAAAATGCGAATCCTGGGTATATTCATGTTGATAAAGCTAAGTTTATCAAACAGTTGTTAGTTTATTAAACAGTTGTTTTTATTTATCCCGGTGTTTGACTACTTTTCTCAACACACACACACACACACACACACACACACACACACACACATTGCAGAAGAAATTGGAGTTGCCCTCTCATGCAGTACTTTACTGTATCCTAGTTACGAAATGTGGGAAAGAAGGGTGATCAAAAGCTTTATGTTTCAGTAGGCGAAGATGCTTGATGATATTGAATGGCAGCTGGGTGGAATGGCATCTGGGTGGAAAAATGTATTATGACTTCAGCTGGTTGATTCAGAAGGGCAGGAAGTGACATGTTTACTGAAAAAAAAAATCAGGATTGACTTTGGTTGTGTGTGTGACAAAGCAGTAATACGATTTCAACATTCTCTTTTCCCTGTCATATACAGTATTTATCTTTACAAGGGATTTACAACCTTTAAAAATTATTGGTGCCAAAATTCCAAACTAATGCTCAGATAAACTGGTTCTGTTCTCTTCTGCAAAAACCCTACCATCAGCTTCTCTTTAGAGTTATGCATCTCTTCATTTTTCCTCTCCTGTATCTCAGCAATATTTTTGGCTGTGGGTATTTTCCTATGGAATGAATTCTATGCAAGCAACCAGGGTAAAAGTTGCAATGATACCTTTTTGCTTGGCCTGCTGCTCTAACCAAATACTGAAGAAGTTGATACCTGATTTCTCTGCTATCTTGAAAACACACTTATTAATTCGGTTCCAAAAAGGAAACGCTAAATAATGATGCTAGTGGTATAAAGTTAAAATATACCTACCGGCAGCTTATGTATTAGCACCATCTGTGAAGGTAATTTGAACTGAGGCCTATATTTGGTACAATGAGGAGAGAGCTATGATAATGTAGAAAGAAAATGAGATTGGGAGTTTCTTCTTGAACCTAAAATTATTGAGAACCAGACCTTTAAAGCTTGTGGAGAACCAGTCTAAAGATGAATGAATACATGTGGGCTTACTCCAGAGCATAGTCTGTTGTACCTCCATTTCCTATTTCTCCCAGATGTTATTCTTGATACAATTTATGTGATGTGCATCTCAAAATCTTTATTTCCCTAATAATAGTATACATCCTTCATTTCATCCCCCAAACTGTTTTTTCTGAAGTTGGGATGGATCTATGGCATTGACATGCTTTGTTTGCTTGGAGGTATAATTAATATCTGCTCCTAAATTGCATATACGTGGCCATATGTCATACAATATTATCAATAAGGATGTCATTATATTTTAGTTGTATCCTCTTTCTCTCAATTACTTGGCTTAATTTTGATGATGACTACTTTTAAATAGAAAAAAAAAGAATCTGAGGTGTTGTAATTGTGGAACAGTTTTTTGATGTTTTTGGTCCAGCTTCCTGTTCTGTGGCTGTAACACTTCCTGCAAAATATAAGGAGGGTTTTTTTTTATGTTGTGTGGCAATCCTTGGGCGAGATGATCCTGTAGGAGTGTGGTGCCAGTAGCAAGTTGAGACTGAGACCTCAGAGCAGAGCAAGGATTCGGCACAAGCCTGTCAGCTGAGAAACACAGTGGAAACCATTGGCTGAAAAACACTCTGCTGTCTCTCTATTCACAGGGACAGCTGACAGCGTTGCCTCTAGGCTGGGGATCACCAGGGATGGGAAGATGCCCCTGGAGGTGAAATGGCCATTTCCTCAGGCCCCAAGTCTGGCATGGAATTTGGCCAGCAGGGTGATCATGGGATTGGTGGGTACCTATAGCTGCTTCTGGACCAGTGAGTATTTATTATCTCTACTCTTTTGACTGATGGATGATTGAAAGATGCTTGACTGATCAAGCAGATCTTCCTTGGCTACATTATCAGGGAGGGTACTTGGAATGTTAGGAACAGCAAAAAGCTCAGGTTGTGTTCATGTTCCATGTGACTGGAAGAGATCCCAGTCTTGGTTCTTCTGTATATAATGCAGATTTTGGAGAAGATGTCCTGTTTTTCTGAACTCTGGACATTGATTAGCAACCCCAGGAAATTGGGGGGGGGGGAAACAAGAGGGTGGATACTAGCTCATGGACGGATTGATCAGCATATTAACTAGGTTTATATACCTTGCCTTTTCCATTGGTCAATTTTGTCTGAGGATAATAGCCACCAAAATTCTTGACTTGAGTCTACTCAGATCAAGTTCAACTCTAGGATATTTGTTTGCAGTTTTCTTGGCAACAGTGAAGAGATAATTTCCATTCCTTTCTTTTGGGATGTTTTTATAACTTTTTGCTTATGATCTTGGGTCTCTTTGATAGAGCTGTAAATTGTTTGAACATCCAAAACATTCTATATATCTGAACTATATTCTATCTACCTTGCTCCAATCTGAATTAGATCCTGAGAACTCTGTAAGTGGGATTGATAAATAAAATTCATTTGAGTGTTTTATCTAAAATATTGTAGCTGCTGCCTTTCATACTATTGCCTTGTTGTCTTTTGTTCAGGATATGTAAACAAGCTGAATATCCATAATGAAGAAGTTCTTTATGACCTAATTGAGAAGCGCCAACCAGGAACCCCCCTCTTGACTGTCTGTAACCATCAGTCCTGCATGGATGACCCACATCTTTGGGGTACGCTATGAGAAGGGAAGGGCTGCCAGTTTGAGAAAAACATTGCTCTTTTTTTATCTTTGAGACACTGGATCATTATTTTGGGGGGATTTGGAGTCAAACAAGCAAAAGGGGATGCTTCTCTCATTTCACAGATCTTCCATTAAAGTTTTTTAATTTGCTGTTATTAAGGACTAAAAATATATGCCTGTAGTTTTACAGTTATAATGCAAATAATATTGCTATGATTATAATTAACTTCATCTAGCAATAGCAGTAACAATGGCAACATAATTAATACAGGCAAGGAGGATTTATGAATGCACCAAAATAGATGGATTGAGACATACAATGTTTTAAATGAAAAAAAGGAAAGGGAAGAAAAAGGAGAAAGGAAATGAGGGAATTGCAGAGATCTGGAGCTTTTACGTTGTTAATTTTTTAAAAAACAGGTGGTTCAGGATTTGGCCAAAAGCAAATGAGAAAGGAAGTAGTATAGTAATTAATGGATCTTGCTTGATCAAATATTTAATCATTTTCAAATTCTAAGCTTATTACTCTGTCTGGCTATTTTTGCAGCAAGAAGGCAGTTGAGGATTTCCAGTGCAAATGATGTTAAATCAAGCAATGCTAGTAAGGGTGTGAAACAAAAGCACATCTAAAGAATTTATTTGATTTCAGTTATTTCTGTCTTTCAAAATTTTCTCTGATACTTTTCCTAACAAATCAAATACTCATTTGGAAAAAAAACACCATAATCAATCTCCTATTTAAGTCTCTGAATCAATTGTTTTGTCTGTCTGTCCTTCAAGTTGAGACAGGTCAGGAAATTTGGACTACTGAAACTCTACTATTATAGGGTATCTTGAAAGCTTGCCACAATATCCTTCTTCCTCATTTTATACCAAGCAGAATCAAGGCAGGTTTATCTTGAATTTCTTTCTCAAGATTTTTTCACCTTTCCCAGAAAAGTTGAGCTGGTTAACTCAATGGTTCTTGCATTCTTGCATTCTTGCATTTCTTCCTCAAGAATATATTCATACTCCTGTTCATATATCTAGCAGTAGTCAGATATATTTGTATTTATCTTTAGCTATCTCTCTCTCTCTGATTTTTACAAATTGTGATCAAATAAAGTGATGAGACCATGATACTTGTTGTTTAATTTGTTACTGCTTTGTAATAAGTTCAGACCCACCTTGAATAAGAGTTTCCATCACAGATTATTCACAGAAGCATCTTTCTTTCAAGAAAATTCAGTGTGATAAAGCTTTTCTGCTCTCAACATTCCAACCAGTTTTAAAGATACAACTTGCAAATTTCTAAAGTGGGCAATCATCCAATCATCTAGTTAAAATTAGAATCTCAAGGTATTTTTTTATCACAAAGTCCATTTTTAAAAATCAGATACTAACAGTGCTGCAGTACCATCAAAGGTGAGGCATAAGAGAGCCAGTTTGGTGCAGTGGGTAGGATACTAGCCTAGAAACCAGAAAATAGTTCTATTTTTCTGGGTAAGGTTCAGGTCAACTAACTCTCTCTCGGCCTATTAACCCATCTCACAGTGGTGTTGTTATGGGAAAAATACAGGGCAGGAGTATTAGATATGTATGCTTTCTTGAGTTACATATAAAAAGGTGGAACACATCAAACTACACTACACAACATTACACTTAAAGGTAGCCAGAGGAAAATTTCATTCCAGTTTTTAAAACAGAAACTAACCCACCCTTTCATGTTAAATCGAACCAGTGACATCAAACTCTGGCTCCACTTTGAATCACAAAGCATTCGAAATAGCGATATGTATAAAAAAACCCCATTCTTAACTGCAAGGCTACTTCAACAGCTTTCCAACATCACCTGCTTTTTATGCTTGCATTTATTTTTCTGTTTGGTAGCAATAGGTTTGGCTTGATCCCATTAATGTTGTGTCTCCTACAGGTATCCTGAGATTACGACACGTCTGGAACTTGCAGAAGATGCGGTGGTAAATCATGAGGAAGTGTGGCTTTCCCTGGAAAAAGAAGGGGCCCCATTTGGTCCCTGTTGTGTGGGTTTGGTGAACATATGTCAGTACTGTGACATATTTTTATGGCTTTCTTAGGACTCCAACAGCTGCAGATATCTGCTTTACCAAGGAGCTGCATTCTCATTTCTTTAGCCTTGGGCGATGTGTTCCTGTCTGTCGGGGTACGTAGCCAGTTTACTTGATACAGATAGATCACAATTTGTATGAGTTCAAAACGTGCAATATTCAGTTTATTGTATAATTGAAAGCGGGTCATGTTTAATGTCACCCAAAATTCAGTTAATGGGAGACTGGTGTGTCTGCTATGGAAGGTAGTGCATTCACAGTTGCAGTTGGGATTTTAGACATGGCTACTGTTCATGTGTGCAAAATGGAGAAAAGGAAGATTCCATCGGAGGAAAACAGTATAAGTTCAAAAAAGAAGATGTTCATTACTACATTGGAGCAAAAATTTCATGTAACTGAATGGCACGAACATGATTATAGCAAAGCTAAAAGGAAGACGAGCTATTGGGATGGCTGAATTTACAGTGTGCCCTATTATAGAAGACACGAGGGAAACAAAAGGAAAAAAAAGTAAAGGGGTACCAGCTTTTTGTGGTTTGCAAACATCGACAACATCTTCTGTGTTACAACCACAGAAACAGAACGTGGATATATGAATTAAGAATTACAATCAATGAATGGATTAAAGAATGCAATAAAAATGCATTCCTCTTGGCAGAGTAGCCATTCAGAACAAAACTTTTAAGTTTGTTTAAGAGAGAAAAGAAAAAGAAACAATGAAGTAGAACAAAGGTTTAATGCTGGTGTTGCTTGATTTGATTGATTTAAAAACGGAATATAACGCAATGTTAAAATTACTATAATATTTACATATACATATAAACATGTTTAAAATATTCCATGGCCTATTTCTATCAAGCTGGAACCAATTGCCCTATTTTCCATAGAAATATCACTTCGAATAGAGTGAGTTAGAATTATGGGACTCTTTTGTGGGATTCATTAACCAAGGCAAGCAGCTCTTGGGATAGAAATGGAGAGATGATATCAGGACCAAGGACAGTAGAGCTGACGTGGCGCAGCAGTTAGGGTGCAGTACTGCAGGCCACTTTAGCTGACTGTGTTCAGCAGGTCAGCGCTTCAAATCTCACCGGCTCAAGGTTGACTCAGCCTTCCATCCTTCCGGGGTAGGTAAAATGAGGACCCAGATTGTTGTGGGCAATGTAAATATATATATATACATTGCTTACTGGTGTACACCGCTTAGAGAGTGCTTGCACTTAAAGCGGTATATAAGTCTCATAAATAAATAAATAGTGCCTGAAACAAACTGAAAAGTAATTTTCCATCTTATGAGATCCTCACTAAATATTGAGGCAGCAAAAGGACTTTTATTTCCCAGTGTTGCACCGTCGTATTTCCATAAAAATAATAGTGATCTATAATGTTTTTAATGGTATCTTTATTAAAAATTACAACTACGATAAAAAGTTAATACCAATTAAAAAATAGAAGGCGCAGAAAAGAAAAAAGAAAAAACACTGTAATAACAAAAGAGAGAGAGAGAGATGAAGAAATGACTTCCTAACTTCATAGCAAGTGTAACCTATTTTCATAACTTATCTTTCTCTTAAAACACATTTTTGCAGAACAATTTGTTTCTCCCTAGAAGCCTACCTATCTTAATGTTGCTGAGTAGATCCACTAAAAATGGCCAGTTGCTTTTCAGATGGAAAAAGGGTCTCTAAATAAAAATCCTATAGATGCTTATGTCTTCTTTTCTAGGCAGGAATGGCAAGTAGTTTGGTTGGGGATATATGTTTTAGGAGCCCCCCTAGGAGTGTAGGTAAGGAGCTTGTATGTGAGTTGGAAGACCTGGACTAAATTCCTTCTTTTCACAGGAGACGGAGTCTACCAGAGAGGCATGGACTATATACTAGAGAAGCTAAACCGTGGTGACTGGGTGCACATGTTCCCAGAAGGTAGCAGTAGCCGAAAGCTGTCTGGGAGCTTGCTGGGGGTTAGAAGGCACAGATGTATTTCATAGCACATGGCTGCCATACGTGGACTGCCAGATTTACTGTGGGACTTGCCATGCATCCAATTGCTCCACATTTTCTCCCCCTTTCTTTTGCAGGTAAAGTGAACATGACCCAGGAGTTCATGCGCTTCAAATGGGGTAGGTATTTTTCTAAGAAGTGAGGTGCATTCTGGAGTAACCCTGTCACCTTTAATTCTGCTTCTTTTTCTTTCTTCCAGGTATTGGGCGTCTTCTGGCTGAGTGCCGTCTGCACCCCATTATACTGCCACTCTGGCATGTAGGTGAGGCCTCAGTCAAAAGTGTGGGGTGAGGTGGAGAGAAGGGGAGGCGGAATTTGCATAGTGGCTGCCAATTACAGTTGCCAGAATAAATGTGAGGCAGGTCTTTCCAACCTTATTAATCCTCTAACACCTATATAGGAAGAATAATATCAGAAGAGGTGGCTCTTCTCATTCAGGACTATAATAGTCTTGAAAGTGAAGCAGATGTGCTCAAGGAAGCTGGCAGGAACTCACAAGTCAGTTAACCATCTGATGAAGTCATTTGTGATGGCTTAGTTAGAAGATAATAAACGTATTTGTTTGAAGGTGCCACAAGGTCTTTTCTGCCCTAAAGTAACATGACCACAACATGACCCTACTGATTGATACTTTCCTTTTTGGAAGTAGTTTTCTGAGAAGGAATCCATTCAAGAGGATTATTTGAAAAGGTAAAGTGGCAAAGCACTGCAGAAGGACCTTTTTGTATCTGCTAGCTCCTTCCATGAGCAGGCAAAGAAGCGCTGCAACTGTGGACACGCTGGAACAAACTCTTCCTCGTCCACATATGCAAGCTGAACTTTGGGAATCATGTTCTTTGGCCAAGTCCCTTGGATGAGATTCTAGTATGAATCTATTTCCTCAAAGCACATCCATTCAACTCCCATATCCAGCGTGAGGATGCCTCATTGCTTCATCTTAAGGACATATCCCTTTGATGCAGCCCATAGTCTGTTTTGTATTTCGTATTTATCTGATCTGTTTTCTCCCAATACAAAGTTTGAGATTTGCACAATGCCTGAAGCTTCTGGGACTACAGAGCTGGTGATGGGGGGGGGGTCTAGGGTCTGCCCAGTTCCCGTCAGCCACTTTTGACTACCTTCTCTCCCCTCCCCTTCCCCTTCTTCCTGGTTCCCTGTGGTGGGTATTGACCAATCATGCAAGGATCCAGTACTAGTCCTGCTGCATGGCAGAGAAGATCCCACAGGCTGGATGGGTGGGTGATTGAAGTGGGCTCTCCTTCATCCTCATACAAACTACCAAGATGCCACAGGAAGGTAGGGTGACTTCAAAACCAGCATCATTACTGTGCTGCCTGTGGGTCACAAGAGAGCTAGTGCGGGCCGAAGCAGTCAGATTCTTTCTCCCTTCCCAGAGTCCAAGCAGTGCACCAGCTGAAACAAGAGACTTCTCTCTTGGTGCTTTCCCCTCCCAGATCTTCTCTATGATCTGCCCAGAGCCCATGTAGGAGGCAGCAGCGGCTGAAGCAGGAAGATCCTTGCACTTTATCCCACACTGCCTCCCCTCCTCATGTGATCTGCTAACATGCTTGTCAGCAGACTGCAGAGAAAATGTCGGATGGGAATGTAAATAAGACTGAAGATATACTTGCTATAAATAATTTTACTGTCACAAGCACACTGTGCTACCTGCCGGCCCCTCCCACTACCAAGTGCCAGGCGTGATCCTACCAATTGCACGTATCACCTGCGTACCTGTTTTCATGGGATATAGTCTCTGTCCAGTGTGAATTAGGTGCTCCAGGTGACCTTTGCTGGGGATAGCAACAGGAGAGAACAGGAAGCAATAAAATATTGCCAGTATGGAATCCTGCCCCTCTTGCATACAGAATAGTAATTGGTGTTAGTTTTCCCACACTCAGCAAAAGGAAGTGGGAGTCCTGGTGGGAGGAAAAATGCAATCATAAATTGCTGCATCTAAAACTTGCTCTACAGTAAGCTCTTAGGACATTGTCACTTGCTGGTCTCATTACCCAAGCAGAAGAGAAATCAGCGGTCAGGACAGAGCAAGGTATGCTAGCAGGAAAGCACATTTAAAACATTTAAATAGATGTGTCCTCAGGTCCCAATTTCGTGATAATAATAAAGTATAATTTTACCTTTCTATATTTTATTTTGACTAGGTTTAGGTAATATGGGGAGCAAAGTTATATATGTTTAATGTTGCTGCTGATGTCATAATTATTCTAACATGTAAACAGGCAGCAGCATCCATGGAAAGAATATCAAAAATCAGCAGGATGGAGCATCATAATGCAAGTCTCACCCTTTCTGAATGTGCATGTTTAAATGGGGCAGTGCGTGCATGGCAGTGCTCCATCTTCCTTCTTGCCAATTTTTTCCTTCCCACCTCTCTAGATTGAGAATAGGATAGAGTGTAAGCATTGCTAAAGAGCCCAGATATCTACGGTCATGATGAAAATGCTGGAAGCCAATCTTAATAAAATCTAGAAGACTGCACAATCCCCGCCTCCTGATTAGAATTTTCATAGTAAGGTCCAAACTGTGTGAGGGTGAGAGACACTGGGTTGCAGTGATCCTGTTTAAATAGAATAAATCCATTAGGAAAAACCTCTAAGAACTTCTGCATAATTAGCTGAGCATAGAACTACATATCTGTGTAAACTAGTTGCATTAGGAACATGGAATACAGGTGGTCCTCAAGTTAAAACAGTACATTTAGTGACCGTTCAAAGTTATAGCAGCACTGAAAAAAGTGATTTATGACTGTTGTTCACACAACCATTGCAGCATCTCCGTGGTCAGGTGATCAAAATTCAGAGGCTTGGCAACTGACTTATATTTATGATGGTTGCATTATCCTGGGGTTATGTGATCCCTTTTGTGATCTTCTGGCAAGCAAAGTCAATGGGGAAGCCAGATTCGTTGAACAACCATGTTACTATCTTAACAACTGCAGCAATTCCCTTAACTCTGATAAGAGAGGTTGTAAAATGGGGCAAAACTCACTTAACAGATGTTTGACTTAGCAACAGAGTTGTGGTCAAGGACTACCTGTACTGGGGGTTTAGAACTGCAGGTTCTTTGAGATTATATGTATATGTGTAGAAATCCTGTTTTATGTTGTCATTTAACATCCCTGCAAGGATCAGGGTTTGAATCCAAAATAACTATTCTGTCAGTAATCCTGAACAGGCCTCTACACATCAAGACATACAATTCAAAGAGACAGAGACACTATGCTTACAACCCAATTGTGAATCTATACTGGGAGAAAATGTGGAAACCACTGAACCAACTAATTCTACACAGCGTTACCTACAACTGATGGATAACTTTGATGACCAAGAAGTAACTGTAATTGACTTAGTTCAATTACCAAAAATAACAAAGATTGATATTCAGACACAACCCTCGAAAATAGAAGAAAGCGGACAATTTACTTATAATCATAACATCGAGTAAAAGTCAATATAATACTCAGATGATATTGGCAGAAAGGGAAGGAAATTTTGTTCAGTTCAAATTGGTTAGAATTTTTTGTAATCAAATCTTGAGGTTTGATAACCGAAAAGCTTTAATATGGGAACCAACTTGGCATAGAAAGAAAGCTAGAGTCAGGTTTAAACGTGATATAAAATGTTACTTGATGGGTTAAAAAGGCTTTAGAGATTTTGTCTGATTTAGTAACGAACGAAGGATGTGAATTTGCTGTTATTATAGTTGATAATTATTTGAGGGAGTAAACCTTTTCAGGGGGTAAAAAGACTTTATAGATGTAGATTGATGAAATGATAGAATATATTTTTAAAAATAGAAATGTATTTTTTGGACTTACATTATTATTTTAAATATGATAATTATGTTGTAATAGAGTTTGTTTGATTTAATTATGAATGAAGGATGGGAATTTCCTGATATTATACGTGGTAAGTATTTGAAGGTGTAAACTTTTTCAAGGGCTTAAAAAGATTTTCTATAGATGTAGATTGATGAAATGATAGAATATATTTTTAAAAATAGAACTGTATCTGTTGGACTTATATTATTATTTTAAATATGATAACTATGTTGTAATAGAGAGAGAGGAAGAGCTATTTGTGATAGGGGAAAATCAGTTTCAATGAATGACCTATTATTAAGGATACCTGAAATCCCAACTATATGTTTACTGAAATGTAATTGGAGTATGACAACTGTAATTAGTAGAGCTTAAAAACAGGATATAGATTATTATAATCGCATGTGATTGATAATTTCTCCAGCACTGGAGATGGATAATCCACTAATGGGTTAACTTAATCCTCCTGCCCAATCAGATCAAGTCAGCCAAACTTGCCACACCTGTCTTGGGCCTGTTTGCCCCAGTTTTCGACTTGATCTTGCCCAGAACAGACGTGCAGGTTTGGCTCACAGGCAGGTAGATAACTATTAGTGAATTATCCATTAGATTATTAGATTATTAACTTTCCTTCTCTTTGAGTCCCCTGAGCAGCGTTGGGACCAATGCTCCTCTAGAGGACCACTTCTTACTGATTCCCATTGGGATTCAGCCTTTCAAATGGAGGACTCCGTTTGTGCTCTGAATTACCCCCCCCCCACCCTCCTCATTTAGGAAAAGGTTTTTTTTTTCCTTTTTCTTCATTCTCTCCCTCCTACCAATTTTCCTGGTGTTGTTGCTTGCGGCTGCAGCTCCGACGGCCTTAAAGAGCCCAGCCCAGCTTGCGGAGGCCGCAGGGGCCTCGGATTGACTTGCTGCATTTTCGGCTGTTCCGGTGAGGATCCCAACTCTCCTCTGACGTCGGAGCTTGCGGCTGCAGCTCCGACGGCCTTAAAGAGCCCGGATCGGCTCGCGGAGGCCGCAGAGGCCTCGGATTGTCTCGTTGCATTTCTTGGCTGTTCCATTGACTGCGGACTCAATTGAACGCCAACGATCAGCTTGGGAGGGCATTTTCGGCCACGTCTCCCCCCGAGAAGGGTGTAACAGGCTGGGTGAGTCCTATCCGTTACGGAGCCGGAGGGGGTGATTGGCCTGAGTTGCAGTCGCCATTTTGCGACTGCGTGGTCCCACAGCCCTGCTGACTGCAAGGAAACGAGGGTGTGGAAAAAGACATTTCCACCTAATTTGGCAACGATTAGCTTGGTAGCGGTGTATTCCTTCTCAGTCCCTGGGGTTTTTCATTGGCCTTATTGAAGGCCTAGATCAGTGGTTCTCAACCTGTGGGCCGGGACCCCATTTGGGGTCGAACGACCATTTCACGGGGGTCGCCAAACAACGCAGTCCACCATTTTTCCCCCCTTTTCCTTAGCTGTACTACTCCCTTTTATTCTATTGGCTTTTGAAAGCCAATAGAATAGACTCTCTTGAATAGAGTCTAATTCTATTGGCTTTCAAAAGCCAATTAGGAATTGTCCAGGCTGTCTCTGCCCTGCTGAGCCCGCCAAAAGTCCCATTCTGCAAACGGTGCTGCACCAGTTGAGTAGTCCTCGACTTACGACCGGTTGAGTAGTCCTCGACTTACGACCGATTGGGGGTCACGGCATTAAAAAGGTTGAGAACCACTGGCCTAGATCGACACAGGGGTCGCCGGTTAAGGCTGGCTGCCATTCTTGCATCAGTCTTGTGCCCCATTAAGGCCTCACTGAGGTTCCTTGGCCTCCTGAGTTTTAGCAACCAAGGTTGTCTGGAGGGGGGAATAAGTTCTCCCAGGTCATCCTTGGAGTTTCCCCTTGTGACATCTGGAATTATCCTCTTACCCTTGGCATAGGCCCAAGAGTTCTTTATTGGGCTTTCTGGTGTCTCAAGCCCTAGTCACCTTGGGTTTGCTAATCACTACAGTAGTCTTAGCCTCTGACACTGTATTGTTGCCACCTTTTATTTTGCTGGCCTGGCAACATCACAAGCCTCACTAGCAGGCCGCACTCCACTTCAGGTAGAAGCAATAGCGACTGCAAGTAGAACTGGTTTTTTGGATACCACTGGTTTGGTGGCCGGGGGGGGGGTAGGGGAGCCTAATTCAGCCTTTGCTCTACACCCTTATCATCCAATTGATCCCTTCAATTCACTCAGTGGGAGGTCACCACCACAGATGCCTGGGTCCTGGACACCATTCGCCACGGCCTGTCTCTGGAATTCATCTCCAGTCCACCAAGACAGTTCATCGCTTGCCCCCAATCAAAGAAATCTCCAAGGAGAGGTCTCATGCAGGAGGCCATCCATCACTTATTGGACATCAGAGCCATAGAACCGGTACCTGCGGCCCAACGGGGGTGCGGATTCTACTCCATCCTCTTTGTAGTCCCCAAGACCTCGGGAGGATGGAGGGCAATCTTAGACCTAAAACGCCTGAATCTTTATTTGGCATACAGAAAGTTCAAAATGCAGACACTTCAGTCCATCCTAGGCAGCATCCGAAAGGGGGACTTTCTCACTTCAGTGGACCTCACAGAGGCATACCTCCACATTCCCATCATCCCCGGCCATTGCTGGTTTCTCAGGTTCAGATACATGGGACATCATTACCAGTACGGGGCACTTCTATTCAGCCTGTCGTCGGCCCCAAGGGTCTTTTCCAAGGGCCTGGCGGTTCTTGTGGAACCCCTGAGATTGATGCCGGTTCAGATGCAATGCTACCTGGACGACATCTTAATACAGTCGTCCTCCCCGCAGGGGGCTCTGACAGACCTGAGACTGGTGATCAGAGTCTTACAGAGACACGGCTTTTCAGTCAATTTCAAGAAAAATCAGACAGTCCCATCGACCAGATTGCTCCACCTAGGAGCCATCATAGACATGGTAAAGTGTCGGGTATATCTGTCCCAGGAACGCAGGGACAGTATACGGGACCTGGTTCTCAAGGTCTGCAGAGAAAAGACTCTGTCTCTCTTAAGGTCGCCTTCTTGGTGGCTATTACTTCGGCCCAGCATATTTCTGAGATGGCGGCTTCTCAGTCAGGGAGGATCTGTGTGTCTTTCACCGGGATCGGGTCACCCTTCGCTTAGACCCCACCTTTGTTCCCAAAGTTAATTCTCTTTTTCATAGGATCCAGGACATCGTCCTTCCTGATTTCTTCCCCAATCCGTCCCATGATCTGGAACGTCAATGGCATTCTCTGGACATCCGACGGGCTCTTCATTATTACATTAAACGGACGGCCACCTTCCGTAACTCCGAGGCTTTTTTTGTCTCCTTCCTACCAAAAGTCGGAAGGTCTCGGCCTCCACGATCAGTCATTGGATAAGAGCTTGCATTGTGGGGGCGTACCAGTTCAATTCCTTGCCGATTCCACCCCGTGTCACGGCCCACTCTACACGCAATGCGGCCACCTCTGTGGCCTGGGCCATGCAGGCTTCCATCAAGGAAGTATGTAAGGCAGCCACGTGGTCTTCCCCGTCACTGTTCATATGGCACTATAAGCTGGACAGGTACTTATCTGGCGAGGCTTCCATTGGCAGGAGGGTCCTCCAACAGGTGGTGACCCACGGCACGGTTCCAAACTTGCCCGCTTCCCTCCCATAAGGACAGTGGGCTTTGGTATGTCCCATTAGTGGATTATCCATCTCCAGTGCTGGAGAAGGGGCATTGTCTTACCTGAACGCCGTTTCTCAGCACGGAGATGGATAATCTGCACCCACCCAAATAGATCCTTAGGCCTAGGGTTTGTTCTGTGATCCAACACGTCACGCTGTCAGTCAGTAGCTGCGTCCTCGTTGAAACCTGGGGCAAAAAGGGCCAGGACAGGCGTGGCAAGTTTGGCTCACTTGATCTGATTGAGCAGGAGGATTAAGTTAACCCATTAGTGGATTATCCATCTCCGTGCTGAGAAACGGCGTTCAAGTAAGACAACGCCCCTTTTGTTTGATTGAATTTTATCTAAAACTATATTGATTTTAATAAGCAATATTATATTTAGGAAACAGAGAGGAAATTTTTGATAATTAATTTGAGCTATACTTATATGATTTTGTTTTTGAATGATTTGACACCTTGACCACCACATTGTGTCCTAAGCTGGAAAAAAAATGGAAAAAAAACCCAATAAAACTTTTTATAAAAAAAAATAATAATAACTATTCTGTCTTTCAATTTCCCTAGGAATGAATGATGTACTCCCCAATACACCCCCTTACGTGCCCCAAGTTGGTCAGGTAAGAGGTTTGGGGTTGCTGGATGGAGGAGGGGAGAAGGGATTCCAATTGGCATGGAAATTGGGAAAATGGAAAGCACTGCATCTAGAAATCGTCATGAGAAAAGTGTCATTACAGGGTGTTTTTCTTCTGTACAGAAAATTACCGTGTTAATTGGGAAGCCATTCAGCGTCCGCCCATTGCTAGAGCGTCTGCGGGCAGAAAACAAGTCGGCGGTGAGTGCAGAGGGAAAATACTGGGAGAACTGCACTCCATGGGTGGTGATGGGACAGGTATTACATGGCAGAGGTTGAAAGCATGATGTCCACAGGCAACAACCAAAAAAGCTTCCATAGAAGCTCAAGACATTACATTAAAAAAAACTGAAATTATTTTTAAATCTTATGCCAGTCACTGAAGAGGCTGCTAATGCTGACTTTATTGTGGTCTCCTTAGTATGATTCACATTGGACTCATTGACAATACAGTGAGCATACTAGATGAGAATTGTTTAGATTTGTACCTTTTATCTGGCAAGCATCAGATTGGGAAAGGTTGTGCACTATGGCTCTAGCAAAACGGGCTTTTGATGTGGCAAGGCATTAGCTGGATTCATACCCTATACTGAGCTATAATCTAGCCTGTGTAGTTTGGACTCCGCAGAATGTGTGTACACAGCCAAACCAAAGCCAAACTCCTGTTGATGACTTAACATGGCGTGTGGACCCAATCATTATAAGTATGCTTGCATTGCTTTGTTGATTTTGGCTCTTTCTGGTTATAGATGGAGATGCGCAAAGCCCTGACTGATTTCATTCAGGAGGAGATCCAGGCCCTAAAGGAACAGGCTGAGAGACTGCATCAGACTTTCAAGCTACAGGGCTAGTGTTGACTGGACTAACCAGAAGCTCTGTCACTGAAACATGGATTATGCAGTCGTGGTCTATGGCAAGAAATGTACTCTTTGCACGGACTACTTTTAACTCATCACTTTTAAGTTAAATTTTCTCATTTCTCCACCTATCGATACCATCCACACACCCTGCTGCAGATGGAGTGGCACAGCATGCAGAAGATTGGATGAAAGCTTCAATACCCCTTGTTGAGCTTCAGACTCTCCTGACTGTACTGCTTTGGTGTCTGCCTCCCAAAGGGAGGCACTTGCAATGGCTACTGTATGTAGTTCCCTCTTGCTAGAACCTAGAGGTGCTGGGACAATTGCTGGTAATGCAAGAACAGGAAGAGGAAGGGATGGGGGAGGGAAATCTGTCTCCATCCTCTTCTTGCAGATATCTCCACTCATTGGAGGAATATATAATGCATTTTGTAAATTTCCTCTTTTTGTAGAATATTGGTTTGCAAATGGTTTTATACTTGAAACTTCCCCAATAAATGATTCACACCTGTTGCAGCCTGGGTTAAGCTCCGAAGTGCCAGGAATTAAAGTTTTCTGCACATAATTCAGGTATCTTCATAGAGGAAAGTGTTTTATAGTACCTAGCAAAAGACCCTCCATTGGCCAATAGATACACCAAATACTGTAGGTTGTGAAAAACAATTAAGGCACTACTCTTAAAAACAAGCAAAACAAGTTGGCATAAACTTTTGGAATAAATTTCATCAGATATATGAATGTAACCCAGATTAGAAGCATACAAGTATCATGTTTATGGAGACAGAGTGGATGTTAGGCACTGATGACAGGAAAATAAATACAATATTAGAGACTGTGGTAATTATTCTTTTTCCCCCCATTTAGTTGTGTCTGGTTTTTGAAGACTGCCTGGACAAGTTTCCTTTGCAAGGGTTTTCAGAAGCAGTTTGCTATTACGTACCTTCGAGAAACTGACTAGCTAGCCCAAGGTTACCTATACCGCTATATCAAACTGACTCTAATTATCCATTAACAATGGATATTCATAAACCTTTGAACAGTCACAGATGTTATAGTGATCTACCAATTTACATAAAATGTAATTAAAATGTTCAACTTTTTACCCCATTAAACTATAAAAGATGATCTTAAATCAGTACAGTACTTTAGGGCAGTGGTCCCCAACTTTTTTGGCATCAGGGACCTGTTTCATAGAATTTCCCCATGGACTGGTGTGGGGGGAGAGCATGGTTTTGGTGTTGATCGCTCACCTACCACTCATCTCCAGCTGTGTGGCCTGGTTCTTAACCGGCCATGGACCAGTACTGGTCTGTGGCCCAGGGGTTGGGGGGGGGTCTCCTGCTTTAGGGGAGTATTCAATATAGCACTGAGAAAATATCCACTGTAAGAAAACATCAACAGTTGCTTGCTACCTATATACAAATATATAATTTCTGCATAATGTAAATTGCCTCCACATGCAGGAGAATGCACTCTGAACGTATTTAAAGTACATTCCTCGGTATCAGTAAAATTTAAGCAGAGAACAGGTTACGCTTTGCTTCTTCTCACTTCCCTCCAACAGCCGCTCCTTTTTCCAACTGGAAACGAAGACAGGGATTTCTAACACCAATGACACTTCCCCCCCCCCTTCACGAGTAAACGTCTATGGAGATTCTCAGTCATCCAGTTCATGGTTGCCCCAACGGTGCTTTTTCAAGAGGCAATTGGACTTTGTTTTTCTTTGAAGACATTTCCCTTCTCATCCAAGAAGCTTCTTCAACTCTTCCAGTTGCCTCTGGTTTCTCACGAGTACAAAATTCTCCACCGGTCCTGCCTGGGCGCAAGACCGTGTTGCATAGTCTGCAGTGTTTTATCTTGGAGGAAGTCCCAGAGTTAGTCTTTTTGGGTGGAAGCCACTTTCGTGCCGCTGGTCGTTATTTATTAAAAAATAAAAAATAATCATCACTCTGACCAGGCTTCAAAGCGATTACGGATTTAAACAGGCAAAATCGAGTTTTGCTGAACCGGGCAGAGGCTTCCCATTCCGGGAAAGGAAGCGGCGGGCAGCATAAAAAAAAATCCCTATTGGCTCTCGATGGTCCCGCCTCGTCCTCTAAATGGATGTTCCCCTAAGGCCGGTAACGCCCTTCAGGGTTCTGATTGGCTGCAGCGGGCCGGGAAAGCAGGAGAAGAACTATCCACGGAAGGGAACAGGAAGGAAGATGGCGTTGCGGTGGGTTGCTGTGTTTTTGCTGCTGAGCCTGGGGCTGGCGGCCGCGCACACGGGGCAGGTGCCCTTGCTCGCTTGGTCGAGTCACAGGTATGTGGGACTCTGAAATATTCTACGTGGGTAATTTGAGGTCACAGGGATTAGAGTCACGGGGGATCGAGGCGGCCGAAGGGATGTATTGGAGCTTGCTTTGCGTGGATAGCCACCCGAGTCTTTATTTTTGTTTTTGTTCCTCTGGATCGCTCCCTTTATCCACACCTTACGGCTCTGGATGTTTTAAACCTCTTATTCCTGAGATGCAAACCACCAATGCTGCAATTGCAGGTATTTGTATCCCGCCCTTATCTCGAGACGAGTCTCGATTTGTTGCAGTTATACTGCGTGTGCAATTGTGGGAAACCTATGAGATGGTCTCATGATCGCAGATTATTCCAGCCATTAGCTATTCTGGCTCATGATACTATTTTGGGGGACAATAAGAAATCCCCCTTTTGCTATATGGACCTGGAAGAACATTGTGAAATACAGCTCTTTGATCTGCGCTGTGCTTCAGATTTTTGAGCTCTTGAGATGTGTGTTATTAGTATAGGGTGAAAAAAAGAGTTTTGGGGGTACTATTGTGTTAAGGGAAACTGAGATAATGAATAGCTTAGTTTTTTGTGGTATTACTAGTTTCTACCAAGGAGATTATAACTTTTAGCAAAAGTATCGCTACAAATTATGTCTTAGTTCCAAGGTGCCAAGATGACATTTTTGACATTGCATGGACATAGTATTTAATTTACATATAATAGTTTTTTTTCTCCAAAGCAATCAATAAAGTTTAATACTTCAAGGTGGACTTTTCAAGAGCCATAGGATTTTTTGCATCTCTGTTACAGTGTACAAAAAAAGGATATCGCACCCTCTTATTAGAAGAGCTTGGGAGGTCTTTTACTGACCCAAATGACATTACAAGCAATAATGGGAGATCTATTTACTGAAATAGAGGCTTTGTTATGGAAACCGGCTTGGCATAAAAAAAGCCAGAATAAGACTAAAAAGAGAAATTTAAAATTATATGTAATGGATTAAAAAGGTTTTGAGAAATATGGATTGATTTAAGGATTAAGATTTAGAGTTGAAAATTTGTGTTTATTAGAATATATATTTTAAACAGAGTAAGAATGTATTTTTTGGAATAATATGTTTATTTGTATGAAAATTATTTTGTAATGGAATGAGAATAAGAATATGATGGGATGGGATTTTTATTTACTCCACTTCAATAGTTTTAAATAATATTTTTGAGACTTTGACAACTTAGGTGCCACTATATTTTAGAAATTCTATGAGAATGTGTTGGCATGAAATTCTCTTCTCCCTCAAAAGACTTTTTAGAATAAAACTTGGCTGTACGTAAAAGATATAGTAATGTATTATTTTGGTCTTTTATCAAGGCTGCTAAGCATTCTCATCTTAATGTTTTTGCAATTCAAGCTAGAGGAATTTTCTTAATGAGCAGATACGGAATTGTAGATGGACTTAAGCCTGTTGATATGCAGAAGTTGTAGAAACTGAGCAGTGGCCAAATATGGAACCTAAAAGCTCATAGAGCTTTTCTTTTTGGCTTGTGTGGTGAGCGAAATGCTAATTTTAATCCTGCATGTTCTATCTGTTTCAGCATCATTCCCTAAACTGATGTGATCTGAACATGTTGACCATTGGTATTTGTAACATCCTGCCAGTAGGCTGTCTGGGGTTTGTGGGAATTGAAGTCCTGTACACATGAAGACATCAGGCTGGAAAAGACTGTGATATTATAAGATAAAGATAAAAGCTTCTGTGAAAGAAAATTTAGCTTTTCTCCTTTTGACTCCCCCCCCCTCCTCTGTCTTGTGAGCACAGCTCCTTATGGTCCCCTTTGGCAGCTCCACATGAGGGTCATGTGGTGACAGAAGCCCAGCTTGCATCTTTACTGGACTCAGTAGTAGACAGTGGCCCTCACAATGTATTGCTGTTCCTTCAGGAGAAAGTAAGTTATGGTGACAGGCTTCTTCATTATATTTATGTCAGTGGTTGCATGCTGACCTGTTCATGTAGACCAGTGGTTCTCAACCTTTCTAATGCCGTGACCCCATAATACAGTTCCCCATGTTGTGGTGACCCCCAAATGGGTGTGGCCACCAATAAGAGGGAGTAGGACAGCTAGGGAAAAGGGAAAAAATGGCGGACAGCGTGGTTTGGCGACCCCCGTGAAATGGTCGTTCGACCCCAAATGGGGTCCCAACCCACAGGTTGAGAACCACTGATGTAGACTCTTAAATATTTTTTATTATAACCTATGAGAGCGTAAAAATCTTTTGGAAATAACCTTTTTACAAGTAGTTAATAATTCTATAGATTTCATTGTCCAAATACTGATTTTTGTTCTTTTGGGGATTCAGTGTATATGGGGGAAAAAAAATGCTTCCTGTTTCTTGAGAGTACACATGGCAATAAAAGGAAGCTTCTTTGGCTTAGTCATGTTTACTGGGAACCTTGTGATATTCAATCACTTCTTCACTACATTTATCAGGATCTTTGTTAGCCAGTGCTTACTGATCCTACTTGTAGGATGGGGTATTTATTTTTCACTCCCATGTTAACATGATAAAATAATAATAATGCAGCTTCTCCCTAAACTGGAGCAGCGGCTTCTGTTGAAAGCTCCTTTTGCCCATTTTTTCTTTTGATCTGGTCTGTAGGTTTGAACTAAAACTAAGATGGCTTCCTGTCAAAATATAAAATGTTTAAAATGCTACTGAGAGAATTTGTCTTCCCTTACAGCTCAGCATTGAGGATTTCACAGTGTATGGTGGAGTATTTGGAAATAAGCCAGATAGCGCCTTCCCCAATCTGGAGGTGAGCGAGAATAATTGGGAATTATAAATTATGCTGCATCACCTATTTTTCTTTCTGTGCATGTATTTGTGTACATCAACATATCTGGGTATGTATATGCATATGTGTAAACACAGAGCGCAAGAGTGAAACCTTCATTTAATGTACTGTTTGGAGGAAGGGGAATCGATTGCTCCTGAAGGTCTGTTAAATCTTAAATTATATCAAGTTATGCTAATTATTTCATTTATGTAGTGTCATAAATCTCATGAGTGAGATAAAATCAACTTGAAAATTAACATATATTTGGCTGCGTTAGTTGGACTCCTTCAAATACAATGCATTTGTTTAATTAGTTCAGGATGGAAATTTAGCCTTTCCATCTGCAGTCTGAATGGAGCTCCCGGAACTCAGTTTTCATTATGACTGTTTTTCCATTGGGCTACTACTTCAAAGAAGTAGTAAAAAGAGGATCTTAAAATACAGTCATAGAATTAAAATTTCCATTTGTCCAATTACAATTTCTTTTCTTTTCCTTGTACTATAAGCTGGCGTGGCTTCTTGTTTCTTAAACATGTGGCAGCAAGAGACTGGAAGCCAGAAAAATAGGTCATTCTGCTGTATTAAATAAAATGAAAAAGAAAGAGAAGCCGTTGTGGGGTTTTGTTTAATGAAAAGCAGCAGGATCACTGGTGTGTTTTATTTTAAGTATGTTTGATTAGGATCTCCTGAGAACTGCATTCACATTCTCTCTCA